GGTAGGTGTCAAAGTCAGGCCACTCACCCGAGGTAACGTACGCTAATCCTGTCAGATCATCCATGCATTGAGTGAGCGTATAGGCGGCTACAGGTCGGCCAATCTGGTTCCGTCCATTAAAAATAACTTTTGGAAATAACAATCGCGGTCCTGGACACTGAGTGACCTTACACATTAAGATAATATCGGATATTCTCCAGTCATTGTTAAAAAACAAGCTAACAATCCTTGCTAACTAGCGGCCAGAGGGATCTTTCTGCCTCCACCTAAGCTCCGCCCACAAAAAACGTCACCATGTTTACCAACTGTAAAGGGGTCTATAGAGACATGCCACTTCCTCAATCCTTAATACAAATGTATAGGGAAAACCCGTAACACCAAAGATGGCGGTTGTATGCACAAGTTCCGCCCCTCCCGCTGGACAGCCAATCGTCTACTTTTAACACTCAAGCCGGGGAACATTTAAGCCTATCGTCTGGTTCCACTGACCAATGCGCGCAGTTGAGGTTTGCGACAGCGGAAAATACGTCACTGTTTGAAAAGGCGGCAGATTTGATATCCAGTGTATGCGTGCGTTGTGTAAATATCAGACATCCGAAGCCTCCCAGAAGTTCCGGGAGTCTCCCGCTGATTGATAGCGGCTCGCTGATGGCCGCAAATTAGTTAAAATCTCCCGGAATCTAGAGCGAGCGAGCGAGCAAGAGCGCGCACATACTGTGTTTTAAACTGTGCAGCGCGCGCGCAACAGAGAGCGGGAGAACCCTTGCGCATGCGCTGTGGGAAAAACGGCGTTTTAAACCGTATTTTGGGGCAAAGTCATCAAACGTTTTCAGCGATTTTTATATTATCATATTTTACTGCTGTTTCTATACGTGCAGTTTTTCTGTCCCGGTGACCAGTGCTCTGCCCATTCATTTAGATAGGAGCCTGGTCTTGTTAGTTCGAAATAGCTGCCCGGAGGCGTTGCCAAGATGGCGGCCGAGTGGCACGACTTGCCTAAAGCCAAGTTCACACTACAGGATTTTAAGCCCGATTTGCAAATCGTTGAGCTCGCCGACAGGTCAGGGTGTTATCGCGTGCAAATCGCGGGGGATTAGCGGACGATGAACGCTTGCCAATCTGTTAGGATGAAAGAGCCAACAACGCAGCGAAAACGCTCGCAGACGCCTCGCAGAGCCCAGAAAAATATCTAGCCTGCTAGATATCCAGAGCCATCGCGTGACTCAACCTCAGTGATGTCATGAGTACAGCCAATCATAGCAACGCATGGGTTGAGGACACCAGGTAAATCTTACTTTTTCTTTTCTTTTTTGCATTTTTTTTTCTCAGAGCAGATCGTCGCGCAAACAGTGTGCAGCACTAGTTTCTGTCTGACGTCCATATTCGCGTGTTGTGTTCTTCTCTGCAGTCATTTCTGGTTTGTTTTATTGCGTGGTTTTTCGTGACAAAACGTGGTTTGTAGACCAGATAGAATCGTTGGGTGACAGAGTTGTTGTCAACTCGTTTTTTATTTGATTATTTTCAGGATTTAGACCGTACCATAGTACTGAAACAGCTCTCACTGAGTCACAAATGATATGCTCTTATCGTAGTGCGTTGTCAACTCGTGTTGTGAGTTACCTCTTGTTGTGGATCAATCACGTTGTGTTGTGTGGTGTGAACAGCTAAACAACTTGAATGCTCCTGATTTCACTGAGAGCAAGTCATGTAGTGTGAACCGCACAGTTCAGCCCGACGTTTTAAAATCATGTAGGCTTAAAAGGACTTTGACCATATTAGATGCCATCATCTGTTGTTTGCACATTGGGTTGTTTGGGTCCGAACAGGCCATTTTGAAGGAGGATAGATTGAGGCCACAGTCAATGGCCTGTCAATTTAGAGAAAACTTACATCGTGTTACAGCAGCAGCAGCGGGCAGTCTTGGATGGGGGAATGGTGCTTGAGCTGTGCCTGATACTGTAGGTTGGCAGAGATTACAAACTTAATATCTCAGAGGTGTGTCAGTTCCAATATGTTTGCCCCACCCCCAATCAACCACCAGTTGTCTGTCTCTTGGATCTGGTCCAGGCCGTAATCCGGTTATCTGTAGCAGATTTGGGCCGTTTTATCTCCTATGTTGGGTTAACTCCTGGGATGCGTCTGGTCTGTGGTCCTCTCCTCCAAGCCCTCAACAGATGGGGTCTTGTCTTGTAAGCACTCTCTCCAGAGGAGTCATGGCAAAGAGCCAGCGCCGACGCAGCTTATTTAACAATGCCACTACATGGCCCAACTGCATCCTGGGAACGGCCTTTCTGCTAGAGAGAAAGTGGTCATGATGGAAATGTTAGTAACTCAATTTTGAAACGGCTCTCCTATAGAAACTATTAGCTGGACATCTCAGGATGGATGACTAGTCGTCCAACTGGAGCAGATATTTTCTTCGCATTCATGCATTCAAATGTAATGGATTATCGAAAATGTAGGGTAGGAGCTTGGTTTTATGCATTGGTTGTTGACTGGATTTTGAGATTTGTGGACATTGCAATCAAAAGTGGAGGCAGATGAACGTTAGCTTGCAGTGGCGAGCAAAGCACCCATTTCATACAGATCTTCTGTCCTGCTTAAACCAAAGTCCACTGTGCGTTGCTCATGTCAGACATAGGTTTGAAAATGATTACACTAAACATCAGTGTAGGGGTCTACCGATATGTGATATTCAGGGTCGATGCCGATACCGATTATAACAGATCAAATAGACAGAGAACTGATAGATAGATAGATAGATAGATAGATAGATAGTTAGTTAGTTAGTTAGTTAGTTAGTTAGTTAGTTAGTTAGTTAGTTAGTTAGTTAGTTAGTAACTTGGAAAAAAGGGCAGGGAGCATCCAGCAGCATTCTGTGAACATTTTGAAAAAACTTAAAGACTCTATTGTAATCTTTAAATACAATTATAGTAATCAAAAAGCATTTCTAATTAATTTAAATCATCAAACTTATTCAATTTACATAAGTCTATCAGTCAAGGGGACATAAGATTAAAATAAAATTATTTTATCGGCAAATCGTTTTTTAAAATGGCTGATACCGATAACCATAAAAATGCTTAATATCGGTGCCGATATTAAAAAAAGCTAGCAAAAGTGGCATCATATGAAAAAATGTATTTCAATATTAATGAGGGCAGAAAAATATATGGCAAAATGGGGAAAATATGTTCAATATATTGCAACTAGATGAGATCATGGTGTTTTTAATGGTGTTATTAATTTTTCTTCCCCCTTTTCTTTTTCTTTTTTTTTTCCTTTTTTTTTTTACTTTACTTAGTTATTTAGTTATTTTTTGTTTTTGTTCTTTTTTGTTTTTTTCTTTTGGTTTAATTATTTTTTGTTTTATTGTTATCTAAAAATGTAGCATCATTATGGGATATGTTAAGATGTCAATTGTAATATTGACTACAATGCTGTGTATAATGTAACAGTGGTGCTTAAAACTCAATAAAATACTAATTATAAAAAAAAATATCGGTGCCGATAATCGGTCGACTCCTACATCAGTGTTGGGGTTTACTTCAGTACCGCAGTTTTTCCCATCGTCTCGACTCAAAGCATAAACCTTCATGTGTCAGAGTGAATTGTGGGAGTTCCTCAGTGGGCAGCAGGGATAACAAGATTTCTCTGAATGTACGTGTGGCACATTTCTACATGATTTTCATGTGACTGGAGAACATTGGACTGTATTGACTGGGCCCATCTGTGTGTGAAAGTGTGTCGGCAGCGTGGGCTGTGTTCAAGGGGTCAGCAGGAGGTTGAAAAGAAATGTCTACTCTGTTTGTGACAATATTTCTGCTCCCTTTTTTACACTAGTGCAAATTTGCTGATATTAAAGGGTTAGTTCACCCAAAAATTAAAATTAAAAGTTTTTTGCACAAAAAAGTATTCTCGTCGCTTGATAAACTTAAAGTTGAGCCATTGTTGTCACATGGAATATTTAAACATTTTCTTCATTGACTTTCTGGGCCGTCAAGTGTCATTCCCTTAGGAGCCTATGTGGTAGTGATTCGGCTCTCAAATTTAATAAAAAAATATCTTCATTTGTGCTCCGAAGACGAACGAAGGTCTTACGGGGTTGGTACAGCATGGGGGTGAGTAATTAATGACTTAATTTTCATTTTTGGGTGAACTAACCCTTTAAGAGAAGACTGTCATTTTCATTCAGGCATTCCTTTCAATTCAAAGGATTCCCAATACATGCACATCTGTGAAGCGGAAGAATGACGAGAAACATCAAATATTAATTTCATCCTTTGACTGTTTGAGGTCTAATCATCAGTTCATAAAATTAGAGTTGTGGCCTAGCAGTAAGTGCACATGCTCTGACATATTGAGCCGTGCTGCTCATGTGGGCAGTGCAAGTTAAAATCTAGCTCACGTCATATCCCCATCATATCCTCTGAGCTGTCCTATAAATAATAAAAATGACCCAAAAATCTCTTTTTCTCCCTTCTTGACTTGATGTAGGTCATAAAAGCCATTTGAAATGTCATGTTATCACATTAGTCTGTTGCGTCACTTTTCGAGTCTGATCCCCACACCCAATCTCAATGCTCTCTGAAGTGTTCATGTTATTGCCCCCTGGTGGTAAGAATGAAGAACATGCTGTGCTTGCTGTCTCACTACTTGTATCCATCCATATTCAACTGTCTATCTTTACGCTGCCTCTCTCGGATGTCCCTGAAAGCGTATAAATCATTAATAGAGTAATCATTAATACTATTTTGAATTAACTATAATAACCCCTAAAGTGTAATGTCTACAGTTTGAATAATATCTCCTGCCATTTTTGAGGTTTGTGTTGTGTTTTTTTTTTGTTTTTTTTTAAAGCAGACAATTACCATCTTAGCAACTGCATAGCATTGCCCTGGCAACCACCCACGACACCCTAGCTGGGAGTTTTGCACAGGAAAAAAAAAACACCACCCATTTTCACCAATCATTTTCTCTCTGTTTTTCTTGTCTTGCAGCTGAACTGGAGTTTGTTCAGATAATAATCATAATTGTGGTGATGACTGTAATGGTAGTTGTGATCATCTGTTTGCTGAACCACTATCGGCTGTCGGCCTGGGCCTTCCTCACACGCCACAGCCAGGCCAGAAGACGAGAGCAGGGCATGCAGCCGGTAAGTGTGCGTGTGACTTTTATTCTGAGTGGGTGTTCGTTTGATTCTCCAGTCGCCATGTGTGTCCTGTCTGTGTGAGCTCTGAGTGGGTGTAGAGTTCCTGTTCTTTTGTTTGATCACCATGTGTGTGACTTTGTGACCGCGTTCATATGGGACTCGGCAATGTGCGTGCCAGCTTCAGGGTCTTTGTGTCGGTACACCTGCACAAATGCATAACGCAGTTCCTTGGGATGGGTCATGATGGTCGACTGGCTCCATTAGTCAGTTGATGTTTATATTTTTACTCTGCATTATAATCCACAGGCCCGTTTTCTGTGAGGAAAACGTTGCAGTTATCCATATTTCATAAATCTTACAGTGGACACAATGCTAAACCAACCCATTTATATTAGGGTTTCTATTTCTACAATTACTGGAGAGATATAATTGAGGGTATTGAGGGAACCCCTCTCAATTGGTATGAGGATAAATTCAATTTAAAGTACAAAGGTACAATGACTGTCTATTTTTGTCTGATGAAAGTAACTGTATTCCAAATACTCATAATTTAAAGTTTATTTGTTAATGGCATCTAAGTCGGTCCGCTCTGGTTACCAATGATAGGTGGGTGGGGAGGTGTTGGTGGTGGGATGGACCCCTATTTATAAGCTATTGCTTTTTGGGGATCCATTTTCACAATAGAATATATCTGTTTTCCTGATCAGTTGTTGGGAAAGTTACATTGATCTATGGTGTACTAAAGTAGTAGTTGCAATTGTAATGTGTGATGCACTGCATAATTTATACTGCTTCTGTCTATACTATTTATACCCCAACAACTGCTTTTGTCGAAGTAAAATGTACTGAGTTATTGTGAAATAAACTAGACGAAATATATAGTCTAACTAGGGATGCACCGATATGACAAATTTGGTCGATACCGATAATTCTCTATATTTGAAGGCCGATAACCGATATATTGGCCGATAAATCTAAATGTACATTTTTAGACAATTTTTGAGAGCCTGATTATAAAAAAAAGTCTCCTCATTAAAAGTCAAGATACAAAATATTGTGTAGCCGATATGACAGACTTTGCACTTTAACTGTATTTTATTTTTATCATAATTTTTATTTTTCATTATTTCTTATTTTTTATTCTAAACTGTTTTAATTATTCTGATTTCTTTTGATTATTTTAATTTCTTCTATGTAAAGCACTTTGAATTGCCATTGTGTATGAAATGTGCTATATAAATAAACTCGCCTTGCCTTAACTGGATTTTCCTTTTTTTTTAAAAAGTGGTTTCAATCATATTTCAAGCAATTTAAAAGCATCATGTTGAACAGTGCACATCTAAACTGAAGGAAATAATACATTAGTCATCAGCTTTTAGATATCGGCTAAATGTTCTTGTTGGGGCGATAACGATAACATTAAAAATGATCATTTATCGGCGATACAAATAATGTGTCCGATATATCGTGCATCCCTAAGTCTAACTAGTCGTTCAGGCAACCCACAGACTATTTGATTTGGGAATTATGTAGTTCTGCACATCCCTGGTTGTTCTTTATGTTGATTTACGTCTGGTTGTTGAGACGAGCTCGTCTAGAGACTGCAGTCCATTTCACCTCCGAGTCGTAAAATGATAGGAGGAAGGTGAAGATGTGATTTAGCAACAGAATGAAAGGAACTGAGCTCTTAAATTTAGAAACGAGCTCATAAATTTAGAGAACAGCATATTTTCTACAGCTGCATTCTTCTAATTCAGCAGCCCTGAATTAATAATGCATGATGTATTAATGTATTCTCATATTTACTTTATGTGCATTTAGATCAAATATTCTGATGCCTGGAGCAAATTTGGTTTTCTGCCCAAACTCCAAACTCTAATGCATCAATTGAAGCTGTTTTTTAATGTTTTGTCTTTAATGCATGGCTCACATCGGTCCTCTCTCTTCTGCATCATACTAGGACGGCTGTGCATGGCCAACAGACAGTTTGGTGACGCAACAAGGAGCCACTGAGGTTAGTCAACTCAGCCTGTCTGCATAATGTTATTTATTACTCTAATGTTTAATTGTCATGCTAAGAGCTAATAGCTCAAAGAGCTCAATATTGTTAACCCTTTCAAAGACAGTTAATCTATTTCAATATTTATCTATTTGCTCTAAAATTACTATATTGTCCACTAATTAAACACATTAATACTCTTTTTATTTATATACAACAGCATAACACTGCATAATAGTAAAGATCTGTTTTTACCAGGCCTGTCAAACGGTTAATCGCGATTAATCGCATCTAAAATAAAAGTTTGTGTTTACATAATATATGTGGGTGCACTGTGTATAATTATTTTGTATATAAAAATACACACACATGCATCTGTATTTAGGAAAAAAATATTATTTATATATAAAATATTTATATATAATATTAATTGTATATAAATCTATACATGAAAATATTTCTTAAATATATACAAGCATGTGTGTGTATTAATATACATATAAAATAATTATACACAGTGCACACACATACAGTATATTATGGAAACACAAACACAAACTATTTGGGATGCGATGATTAATCGCGATTAATCGTTTGACAGCCCATGTTTTTGTTGTTGTTTTTTACAAAATATACACTACTGATCAAAAGTTTGGGGGTCAGTAAGATTTAAAAAAAAAATAATTTAATACTTTAATTCAGCAAGGATGCGTTAAATAAGTGACAGTAAAGACATATTATTAAATATTTATACTTCGAATAAGTGCTGTTCTTTTGAACTTTCCATTTATTAAAGAATCCTGAAAAAACAATCTATCAATATTAAGCAGCACAACTGTTGTCTAAGAAATGGTTCTTGAGCACCAAATCAGTGTATTAGAACACTGTATGTGAAATAATGCCAGCTGAAAATTCAGCTCAGCCATCACAGGAATAAATTACATTTCAAAATATATTAAAATAAATTAAGCATTGGTGAGCAAAAGAGTTTTCCTTAAAAAAAAATAATAATAATAATAATACAAACCCCAACCCCCTTTGACAAGTATAGTAGAGGCAGGCTGATATTATCGGCCGATATTTGGCATTTTCCAAACTATCGGTATCGGCAGTTATAATGGCCGATAAATTAATATTTCAAAAATAAAATAAAAACGGACGAAACACGCTTGAACCATGTCATGAGTGTTGGAGTTGTATAGTTTGTCCACCAGAGGGCACTCTACACCGTTCCTGTTGGCAACACTCGTTGAGTTGGTCACGAGTCATACATTGCTTGAATAGCAATTAAAAGAACATCCCCATCAGTTCTCTTAACTCAAATAAGCATGACAAAATTTGTGACTATCATGCCCAGTTTTGCTGCTGTTAAATAAGCCGAGAGTGAAGCGGAATTAGCTAGTAATAGTAACGTTACGTTGTTACAGTGTAGTCGACTGACTGTCCTTTTAACTTTTGACAATGTGACGGAAGTATTTCTTTAATAGCGCGTGACAGTTATACCAATCTCTCCTTGGCCCGTTATATTGAAAATGTATGTTTTACAATTTGCAGTATGACGTTATCCGTTGCTAAATTATGGCTCATCATAGACTAAGCTAGCTAACGCCACTATCATCAGTCTGTTCTGTTGTGTTTAAAATGCATTATCATCGTATTATTTTAGTTAAAACTCATAAATAACTACAAATAACTGATGTTGGGGGAATCTGTTAATGTTTTGTTGCGCGTTTCTGAGAGAAAAAAATAAATAAATATCGGCCGATACATCGGATTTTAAAACCAAAAAATATTTGTATCGGTATCGGCCTTCAAAATCCATAATCGGTCGGGCTCTAAAGTATAGTATATTGATTGTATAGTTAACTTTTTGTGTAATTATTCTGCCTGCAAACCTTTTTTTTTAATTCTAAAGATTTAATGAATATATTCTGCTCTGTGTTCAGGTGATGTATGGGCCACGGAGCGGAGAGCGCTTCAACCCACCTTCATTTATGCAAAGGGACCGATTCAGCCGCTTCCAGCCCACCTACCCATACCTGCAGCAGGACATCCACTTGCCGCCCACCATCTGCCTGTCGGATGGCGAGGAGCTGCCGCCCTACAAGGGCCCCTGCACCCTGCAGCTCAGAGACCCGGAGCAGCAGCTCGAGCTCAGCCGCGCATCCGTTCGCGCGCCCCCCAACCGGACCATTTTCGACAGCGACCTGATAGACGTTTATGTGCACGGAGGCGGGCCACGGCCCCCGAGCAGCAACTCTGGCAAGAGCGCCTCGAACTCGCACGTGGAGGGGCCGCCGCCCACCTACAGCGAGGTGATGGGTCAGACGTGCCCAGGCTCCGCCTCCTTTCTGCACCAGCACAGCAATAATGCACCACCCTCCAACCAGAGGACAGCCAGTCGCTCCCCCCAGCCTGGCGCAAGCACAACCCCGTTTGTCAAGGTTAAGGATAGCCGAGACAAACCCGTGTGACTAGGAGGCACGGAGAGTGCCCTAGGGAGCGCGCGCCATCATCTGTGCTCTCTGGTACTTCTTCCTGGACCTAAAGGGGAGTGGCTTCACTGTTAGACCACTCCCCTTGCACAATTTGAATTGAATATTGAGGAACCAAGCTTACAAAGTTTATTTTTTTGTATTTTTTTTTTTTTTTGCTAGAACTTCGGGGCCTTGTATGGATGTTTGGGCTCCTCGGCTAAATCTCTCTCTCTTTTTTGTTGTTCTGTTTTGTATGCTTTCGTGTATTTAAAGAACACGCGTGTTGGCACAGATTGTTTGCGTGAGAGACCGCGTAGGTCATAGGATTGAGAAATTTTCTATTCGTTTGTGTGCATTTCCAGGACTTCAATCAAAATCCAAATTGAGTGCCATGATAAAATCTTAAACCTTGGGGATGTGACTTACAACAACAACAACAACAACTAAAGTCTTTATGTTGCACTTATTCTCTAAAGAGTAGAAACAGCAACCCTTAGTTAGTTTTTATATGTCAATCTGTCACAGGTTCCTGGGAATTATTTCCTTCCTTTTTATGTCCTGAAATGGAGATGTAGAACTCTGATCCAGCCTAAAATCTCTACAAATGAACTGCATCATGGCACTTATTTAAAGAAAAAGGGTTGTTCAAATTCCAGTTCACTTTTTCCCACTGACCAAGTGAGAGATGTTGGCATGGATATCCGCAGATGGAAGTCACGACACATATGCCACTTTCATTCTGTCGAGTAGCACTTTAAACTTACGTCACTTCAGCATTGTCATGGGGTCCAATGGAAGGGAATCATGGGAACTGTAGTCTTATGCACATCCTGTCCCTTTCTGAATGAGTGTGTCATATTGTTTGTTTTCCCACTATAAAAAGCATGCGTATAGTTGTTTTTTCCCCCAGTTATCCATACTATACTTTAGTTCACAATCATATATGGATCTCATATTTTATCCCTTATTTTCATCTCCTGGAATGCCGTTTTATTCCAAGGCACCGCGGGAGCACATTTTGTCTGTTTATATGTTCTGAGATTGTCACCCAAACAAAAAGTGTACCAATCACGACGAGGTACATCCCTCCTTTTTTTCTTTCCTTGTTAGAAGTTGCGTTCAATCATCACACGGCACACATTTGGAATGCTTTCAGACATGTTGATTGTGTTTTTGATCACATCAGAACTTTGTAAACCATCAGTCTTTGGCCTTTCCTTAAAAAAAAAAAAGTACCATAGATAACCTATTTATTAACTAGCTATTTATTAAAGTGACCAGTTTGAACTGATATTTAGTCAAAGTCAAAAATAGGCTTTTATACAACCTTCTTGCCCCTTAAATAGCAAGAATCTACTATCATCACCCATCCGCTTTGGCTCCGAAACGGCCTCCTCCTGTCATAGGCTCTGCTTCTGTCACTCATTCTGTTTGAGTTCGTACTGTATTGCTGCTGCTATGCGCTGCTACTGCTACTGCTGCTGTTGTTCGCTCGGTGTGTAGGCCTATGTCCGCTTTTCATTACTTTATATTTGCTTACCAACCGAGACATAGTTGTTTGTGCTCCTTTTTTGTTGTTTTCTTCGTTAACATTAGTGCATTTCCGCTGTCATAGTCGTGCTAGGAAAACAAATCCAAATGTATTTTTTACATTTGCAGCCGAGAGGTTTGCATGTTACTATGTACATGAGCAAATTCGGTGCCTAACAGTCATGTTTAAGCAGACATAGAAACCCACTTGCACTCAAAAGTCCCCACCTTTGTTGTGCCTCACTTCCTATGGTGCTTCTTTCAGTAGTCGGACTCTGTTTATTTGTACGGTGCTGTATATAACTTGAATATATTATGCACATATCCTACCCAATGGGTAGAAAACCACAAGAAAGCATTGTTAATACTGTAATATAATGTATAGATAATATTAAAAAGAAAACTTTAACACGGTGGCATCAAGTTTTGTGAATGCCTTCAATTGTGCTTTGTCTTTTTTGTAAAACAGAGTAAAGTTTGCAAAGAGAAATGCTACAGTGTGGTCACATAAATAAATACAAAAAGACTTCTTATATATTTTTTTTTTCCTATACAGTAAATGCAAATCTGTTATGTGATTCAAATATTCTGGGGCAGTTATATAAAGGATAACTAGCTGCTGCTTTTGTAACTTCCAGAGAAAGAATTATAAATGCCAGCGCTTGTCATTTTTATTTATTGAAATTTATATTTTGTGACTGCTATAGCTGTTTTGGGCGTGTATTAACCACGCTCGACCGATCGCAGAAAATAATAACTCGGCATGACGTAATTGTACCGTAGATTCATCGACTGACTGCCGACTTTTGGGCTCCCACGAGGCCTTTTCTCCAGCCCGAGAGATGGTTTCGTGGGTCATATCAAATAGAAGCTCAGGGTGAGGCTTTATTGGATCGGTGATACAAGGGTTAACAATTTGTTCTTTTTTTAAATGCACATAATCGAGTTGGAGTTGTGTGGTAACGTTATATGAAAAAAGCATCAAATCAATGCATACATGAGAATCCAGCCCATAGCTGATTGTTACTGCATGTTCATGTTGTCATTTTCCTCGGCATTAGCAGTCTCGTTCCGCACCGAAAGGATCCAGAACACTCGGTAATTATTCCCTGAACCCGCTTGAATGAACGAATAAACGAGTGAACGACTGACTGACGACTTCTATGGATCTGGAACTCCGACGAATCAATCCACAGCACTGTTCATCATTGGCCTCGAGCGAGATCACAGGACTATGAAATTTTGGACTACAATCTTTTTTTCTTTTTCTTTTTTTTTAACAACCACAACAAAAAAAACAGTTCAGTGAGCGAGGAACACTTACGCCTTTTTATTTTTTATTGTTCTATTTAATTGTGATGTCAGCGGTTTTTCAGTTTGAGGTCTGGTAATTGCAATACTTTTACAGGAAAAAAGGTGACAAATGATTAAAAAAAATTATAAAAAATAAACACGGGGGGAAAAACAAAACAATGAAACTATTGCTCAAAGATACTGTTGTAGTCCCTCATGAAACGATTCCACGCTTGTTCTTTCGTTGTCATCAAATGGCTAGAGAGAGCAATTAAAGTTGAGGAAAATAACCAGAATGAGTCTCTTTTGTGTTTCGTGTCATTCTGTTAAATGCTCCTGAAGGCGATTGGAAACTTTCCTTTAAACGGTGCCATCTGTAAGAATTGAGGTTAAAATATCCAAAAAATGAGCTAGACGCATCAAAAGAATGAGAAGAAATAAGGTTGATGATGTCATTAAAAAAATACAAGTTATAGTGCTGCAGAGATATTAACCTGAATTAGCATGCTAAATTACTAGCCCCGGCCCGGCAGGTGTCATAATACCAGTTTCGGCCATTGGGGGGGCAGTATGCGGGCAACATAACACCAGCCGCACGGCTATGCGCTTGTGATGTCAGTCGTGTGGAAAGTAAAGCCAACTACTACATTTCAGTTCAGGGAAGAGTTCAAAAAATGATTGGTGGATATTATGCATGAGGAATACATTTTGGTAAGTTGTAGCATACTGTATCTTTCAACAGTGTTCGTGTTCTTTTAGCATTAGCTGCTAGCTAGTAGAGATGATCGGTTCACCTGCGCTAGGGATCTGTCGTGTAACATTTACAAGCGCCAAAACGGTATTTATTGTTTGAATTGCGTAATAAAATTGACTGAATCTGAGAGCTGAGATTTTTTATATATATATCATAACCTGCTCCTGTCTAGTCTGTCGGTCTGCGTATCATTTTCTGTGCGTGACTAAATTGATGTGTGGCGTGTCTCACGGTGAATTCGTTAGAGTTGGCAGCTTTGAATGGCGCTAGCTTGGTCAACATCATACACTAGACCTCACCTTGGATACGGCAGTTCATTAGAACAAATGCGTCAATAGAGCCGCCATCTTGAAACGGGAGCCCCTCCACTTTAATGCATCAGCGTCAATGTAGTAGACACAGGTCTAACGCAGATAAAATCACCATAAATCATCATGAATGCGATTTTTCTTGTTTTTTTGGTTTGTTCCAACGGTCAGACATGTATTTATCATTGATTCCAGAAAAAAAAATTATTTATTTATTTTTAAAAACAAAAACAAAACATTCTTCCTAGTTCAGATTTCATCCGTGAACTTCATACGCTGCACAAAACGCCTCCATCAATGAATTCGAAGTAAAGGCAGAGATAGCAGCGTTACCTAGCTACTTCCTATGACAAGACCCCTGTTCCAAGATGGCGGCGGTTTTGACGCATGCTTAGAACCCCCAGGTGAGGTCTAGTTTATATGTCTATGGGTCAACATCAGCGAATGCTGTCTGTCAAATTAATTCAAACTAACAATAAAAATGTAGTATGAACAAAACAAATACCGTAAAACTTCAAATAATAGCCCGGACTATTATTTTCCCATATCGTTGATGCACCAGCTTGTATTTGAGACTGGTGTCTATCTATGAGCTGGCTTTTATAATGTAGTGTTGAGATGTTCTTTGAGACTAGGCTAATCTCTAAAAAATCTCCGAATGTTCCACGTGAAACTGTGGTCTTCCAAACTTTAAATATCGTGTCAATGGGCTCTATGCACGGCGGTATTTCCGGTAAGGATGCTCGATAACTTCCGCCGATCGTAGAGTCCAATGCAATACCGAGAATTTATATTGAATTTTATACTACATGGTTATACTAAAGAAATGTTAGTCACAAAAACAGACAAAACACCCCTCGTTGTGCTTCTTCTTTAAAATTATATTAAATAAACATAACTATATAAAATTACATTTAAACGTTTGAAAGTTTCGTTTCAAAGACAGGAGGACAGTAAATTTTGAAGACTCTGCCATAATCCCGTTTTCCTCCGCTTCAATCTCCTCAACCGGAAACTGACGAGCATCCTTGTAAAATGCGCAATTTATGATTAATATGCGCGAGGGAGAGAGAGCAAAACAGCGCTCGCTCGTGTTGTTTGAAGACGTGAGAGTGCGCGTGGCCGCGGCACAAGTCACTTTCTGGAGGTATACTGCCCCCATCTGGTATGGAATATGGAGTATGATTAGATTTTTTTTTTTTTGACGGATTGCACAGGTGAAAAAGTCACTTTCCCCATAATAAATAAAAAATGATTCAGAGCGTTTTGTTTTTTGCCAAAGTTTGCAGTTTACATATAAATTTATCTACGTTTAAAGGAGTAGTTCACTTTTAAAAAACCTTTTGCTGGTAATTTACTCACTCTCATGTCATCCAAGATGTCCATGTCTTTCTTTCTTCAGTCGAAAAGAAATTAAGGTTTTTGATGAAAACATTCCAGGATTTTTCTCCATATAATGGACTTCAATGGGGTCCAAAAGACAGTTTCAGTGCAAACTGTTCAAAGGGCTTTAAACGATTCCAGACGATGAATAAGGGTCTTATCAAGCGAACCGTCGCTCATTTAAAAAAAAAAAAAAATCAAAGTTTAAGTTTTATAAGCTCAAATGGTCGCTCAATAAGCTCCTTTAAATAGCCTATATCATATCAGATTTGTTTCACAAATATAATTAAACTATGATTACATTATTTGTTTGGTTAATTTGGTGAAAGAATTTTACCAAAAAATGCATTTTCAAAATTGAATAGTAAAAAGTTAGTTGCTCCAACTATTGCTGCTTTCACGTGCTGTCGTAAAAATTCCTGCTTCCCACCTCTGAAGTCGTGATTACGAGCTCATCGCATTTGAATTTTGACTTGAGAGGCCGTTCATGTCCTAGGAACTAGGGTTTACGATCCTTTCGATAGCACGTAAAGGCAGAAGAAATGAACTGTATGCCTACTTCGGGCAAAAAAAAAAAAAAAAAACATGCTGAGATGATCACTTCTTTACAGCTCTGGTAGAAAACTTAAGTATTCACACTGAAAATGTCAGTGTAAAAATACAATACTGCACCTTTATATTTTCATTTCACTAGTGATCATTAGTTATTTTAAGTGATGTGTTCAATGTGCATGTTTAAAAAAAAACTCAACCTCTTTAATACACACATCAAAACACTATTGTTTATTGTCAATATTGATTGACAGCCAGGTAGGACATCCTTCAACAGACACAAAGGCCTCAAAGTCCCATCAAACAGTCTAAATGCTTCATCAGCAGCGGAAGTTCAATTATCAACCTTCATTTAAAACAAAAACAGGCCTTTGAAAAATATTTAGGTTGCGTAAATTAAACATGAATATGGCAGAAACAGGATGTAAAGTTTGATGATTTCCAGAATGACTATCAGGACAATTTATGATTTTTTTCCCCCTGCATTATAAGCAACAGTACAACTTTTTTACAACTTTCTGACTTTGCATAATAACTAAAATTACAATCAATTTTCAAGATTTTACAACATGACCATTTCATTCTCAGTAACTTGTGTGACACGTCAGTACTCTCTTCAATCCATAATATATGCGAGAATTGAAAGAGGCAGTGCTATTTGTAAGGTAACAAAGGAATAAATATATAATATTGGGTGCATTACACTTGCTGTTCTCTTTAGAAAACACACTCTCATCTTTTAAAAGGTATTTCAAGTTAAGTCCAATGCCTTTCAGTAGACTTCTGTGCTGTAAATATATGGTCAATTTATGAATCAGAATACCACATTTTTTTGTCATAGTTTAGACTTAAACTCTAATGTGAACAGTGAGTGTAGAACATAATATTTTAAAAATACTAAAGACGGGTTGCTTTCCTTAAAGTGTATTATACTGTTAAATAACGTGAATCTTCCTGACATTATGGGAAGATAAAGTCACTTCATGACCTTTCGTAAAGGTATATAAACCTATTCCTTTTTCTTTCGGAAAGACACTTTGTCTTTGGTTTCTTGAAGTTTCTCAGTGAACTTGTCTTTCGTTTCCTCCATTCTCTCGGAGAAACGGTCCTTGGTCTCTTCCATTTTCCCAGAGATCCTCTCTTTGGTCTCCTCCATCTTCTCCTGGAGGTATTCCTTCACGGGCGGAGGAGTGGACATGTAGCCGTGCTTCCTCAGGTACTTCACGGACAGGGACGTTCCTCCTAGAGTCGCGGTGTACCTCGCAGGTGTGGCGATCTTGAGGAGATCAAGAAAATTAAACCAGCGTCACATTAACTTGAACTGAAAATAAGTTTGTTCATGTAGCGAGTGACTCTCACAAGGTTTGAAGTCAATGACATTCTAATTCTGAACCTAAATTGTCTTAAAAAGTACAATATGTAAGAATAAAATATCCCAAAATCACTTGCACGGTGCTATATATGTTTATATCTACAAAGATTCTACAAAAAGTCTCCAAAAATGTTATTTTATTTTTTAGAGAAATTCCAATTTTTATTAAGAATGGTAATTTTTAAAAATGTCGCCTGTCAATGACGTTATATCCGCGGCGCTATCCTCGGTTCACGTTCATGCTGCCATAGCCATGACGTAACCATGGTGACAGACGTGGACAACTGCGTAGTGCGTAAAGTTTAGCGGCACGCAGTTCAAACATAGACCATGGCAAGCAGACTTTGGGACAAACAAGGAAAACTAAAATGAGGATCGATATCAGCGTGGCGTTTTTGAGACGCCGAGAACTCCCAAGTCCGTGACTAACTTGGACTGGAGACAGCTTTATTAGACAGGTGAGCAAATGTACATAAAACAAATCAATGTTATATAACGTTAGCTCAACATGATGAAATGTTAGAATATGGTCGGTGTGTTATTCTAATGTTGATCTAGCTTACTGCTAGTTTCGTATAGCAAATTAACTAACAAGTAGTATAACATTATAACTTTCAACACTGGGCCCTCTTGTGGTGAAAAAAACAACTACATATTGTGCCTTTAAAGGAGTAGTTCACTTTTCAAAAAGTTTTTAAGTTTTATAAGCACAAATGGTCGCCTTGCTCTGTTCTGTGATGAGCGTTCGTGACTCTCCTGTTCAAACTCGTTCATCAAAATGAACGAATCTTTTTCCTTTGTCCTTGATAAGACCCTTATTCATTGTCTGGTGTTGTTTAAAGCCCTTTGAAGCTGCTCTGAAACTCTCATTTGGACCTTGAACCTTTTGGACCCCATTGAAGTCCATTATATAGAGAAAATCCTGGAATGTTTTCATCAAAAACCTTAATTTCTTTTCGACTGAAGAAAGAAAGACAAGGACATCTTAGATGACATGACATGACTTTTTTTTTTTAAAAAAAAGGTGAACTACTCCTTTAATTTAGTTGCATCTCGGTAATATAAATCACTCTTGAAGTTCTATAGCTGAAGGTAAAGTTTGCAACATTTATTTTATTCTAATTTGAACATAAAAAAAATCAACAATTAAATTATTAATAAATAATTTTATTAAAAAACATTGTATTAATTTAAAAAAAATAAATTTTCCCACCTTGTACATGGCATATGCCGTCAGTGCATAGCCACTCTGAGAGTTCTCCAAGAGTTTCACAACCTTGTCAGGAAACCCAACATACTCAAGAAATGGCACCAAATTCACTCCTCTAAACGAACAAACAAACAAACAGAGAAAGCAAGCATATTATTCCTTCTTCTTTTATTAAAAATCACATCTTAATTTTCTTAAAAGGACAATTCACCCAAAAATGTATATTCTGTTATTCATCCACCCTTATGTCATTCCAAACTTGTATGACTTTCTTCTGTGGAACATTGCAGACCATTGACTTCCATTTGTATGAAAAAAAAAAAAAAACCATTCTAAAAAGAAAATTCTTTTTTAGATTTAAAAAAAAATATTTCGTCTGCTATGGGTATATGGAAGTCAATGGGGACCATCAACTATTTAGTTACTGACTTTCTTTAAAATATCTTCTTTAGAGAGAATTTCATACAGGTTTAAAACAACCTGAAGAGTAAATGATGACAATTTTAATTTTTGGGTGAACTATTCCTTTAAAACCTGTCGTGAAACAGCTTCAAAAAGCACATCAATTTAATAAGTGGACATTTTTTTAGTCTTCTGATGATATTTGGCAACTGAGATGAAAAATAAGTATTTTTTTATCGTTTTTTTTTTATATAAAGTTAATACAAAACATAAGAATCAAATGTTTAAACAGCTAAAATATTCAAGTGTGAAGATTAGTGGGGAACATATGACAAGGCAAACTGATAACTCGGAGCTTCTCTGCAGAGTGAGGTCATAGTGAATGAAATAGCCCATATTCAAGCATCCATTACCACCTCCCACATTTCTGAAACGTCTAGACAGTGGTGACCCACATTCAGCCAGATGTATTGCTGAGTAAACATTCCAGTGTGCCATTTACCTCAATCCAGCATACGCCATATACAGACAGAATGACCAGGCAAAAAGAAAATGATCTGGTCAACAGATTACCGCCTGAGAGCCGACACATCGCTGACAGACATTCCTTATTTAACTTTACGTTGTGCTTCTTTGTGGGATACTGGTCATATTTCTTCAGTATTTCTTTGACTTTAATAAACTAGTTTGAGAATATATTTATATTTAAATTTGTATACATATTTAAATCATTTTACATTGATTTTTTTCGTGAAAGTATTTTTAATTGAAATTAGGGCAATTAGTCTGACAGCCCAAGTCTTCAGTGCGAGACGCCCATAAAAACCCAGTGTTTTTCAGGTAGGCTAAAAACTTGGGTACAAAATAGCCTATTACTTATTCATTTTGATGTTTTTGAATGCAAAAACCAAGCGAACGTCATAAGTTGACCACAGACAACAAAATAATAACATTTAAAAAGCCAGTTCATGACCCCTTTAACCCGTGCAGCATGTGCCAGCCATATTCCCATACTTGTAATGAAAAGTGCTTATCGATAACAACAAAAAAGAATACGTTTTCTGTCAAAATAAACGTTTGAAAATAAAGAACATAACTGTGATCCATCATTTACTTACTTCATTGCAGCATAATAAAATGTACCAAACCACAATGTAGATGTCAACAGGTGCACGGGGATCATGACTTTGCCATACTGCTTAAAGGTTTTCTTGAATCTCTGAATGAGGCCGCTGGATTTGTCCTGCAGAGGGTCTGGATCCTCCTGTACTGGAGCTGAGTTTAACAGATGATCACCGCTGGTGTCCTTCTGAGAGGCCGGAGAGCAGAGCGCACTGAAGCTGCTGAGCCATCGTGGGTGTTTCCAGCACAGCTGCGGCCTCTGTGCGGTCCGGCTACAGGACGGAGGACGGATCTGTAGCAGGACAGCAGTCTGCCTGAAGACACTGGCACTCACAAACCGCTGCATCGCAAAACAAGCTTCTTCTCCCAAGGGTCTGTCAGCATAAAAACAAGAAGACAGTCTGACAGGGGCCTGACTTAAGGCGCAAGAACATGAATAATATGAATTTAAAAAATCCAAAAAATTAAAACAGATTGACAAAGGATCCTTTATAAATAATATAAATAGATGACCATGCTCAATATACAGTAGGGTGCAAAAGCTTGAGACCACATTGATTGCATTTATAATTATTTTATTTAAATCCTGAAATATGTTTTAAGGATTTCAAAAATAATAAAAGGAACATAAAAAACATTTTTGCTAAAATTATAAATATATATAATTAATGACACTGACACTACTCATCTATGTAATTTAAAATAGAGGCGTTTGAACTAGATTTTAAGACTTTCGGACGCCACTGCATCTGTGAGCAACTCAGTATCTACCATAATTTACCTTTTATTTATTTTGGTGTAACACTGAGATTGGAAGCATATATATTTACATGCACATTTGTCCATATTTTCTACTGCACATTAAAATGTTTTGATGTCTGAATTCAATCGGAGCATGGAATTTCACTTGTTTTTTTTGGATGAAAACAGTACAGAAATAAGAAATAAATATCGGGTATCATATCAATTTGACGTGGATTACTTTCTCTACCTTCAATATCCCATAGAGAATGAGGTCACTGGTGCAGGAACTGCTGAAAACATTAAGGAAAACATAATCTGCACATGCTCAATCACATTCAGAAAGAAACTCTGGAAATAATCACAGACTAACCTCCTACTAATCGTATTTAACACTCAGATTGATTAGTATAACTTCACATGTGTGAAGTATCCTACGATAGGCACCAAACGTGAATCAGCTAGCATTGCTAAGGGATGTCTACTGTCTAGTATCTACTAAACTAATCAAAGATTCACTCGTCCTCCTGACTCAACATACAGAAATAATACTCTAGAAATATGCAGTTACATACATGAGTGACTAGATCCGGCATGATGTGATTTTCCCACCACAAACACTTTAATGTCCCTTCTGTCATTCACAACTCCCCACAAGACGCAGCAACATTACACATAGTGACTGTGCTCGCACTGTGTTGTGGGAAACGTAGTCCAGTCGTGCTGTGTGTACCTTTTCTCCCTGAAACAATGTCGCTCTCTGGAACTACATTTCCCAGAATGCACGGCGACGTCGAGAATTTACAAGCGCTTATGGACGTGTTTTAATACAAAATAAATTAAAATGCGGTGATATGTATGTGTATGCGGGGAACAAGTATATACAATTTTTCGTAATTTATTTAAAGAGAAAGAAAAAACTATTTCCTCCTGTTCCAAATGTAGGCTATACATACCATGTATGTACTATATCTGTACATATATTTATAATGATGTTACACTTAAGTTATGTTTAGAATAACATGCCTCAATTAAATAGTATTAGAAAAAGTATTCCAAGTGCAAATGCAAGAAGTCCGCCAGTCCTCTAAGCGGCGCTGCGCTGGTTTTCTCATATAGTACTGCAGTGAAGATCGGGAAGTGCGCTGTTTGTTGGATACATGATGGCGCAAAACTCAAGTGAGTGCAGCAACATTGTTTCAGTGTTCATTGATCTGTTTGTTACACAATCATGGCGTTGAGCACACAAACAGTTAATGTGATGTATGATGTTGGTCTAATTTTCAATTAGACTCAGTCAGTCTTTGCAGATGAAACACGTGCCGAGACGGACGCTTGACATGAGCTGTTGTAATGAACTCAACTCTGACGCACTACAATTTTACGTTTATGTTAGTTTATCTACATAAACTTAATGTATAAGTTACCCATCCCATTGCTTACAATTTAAATAATTGAAATCACGACTTCTGTTTGTTCCTTCTGTGGTCAATTACTAGTTTTATAAGGCGAATGCAAATTTCATAAAAACATAAATACTAATGCACTGCTTTTCTATGTACAGGATTGTTTGAGGCGGACAGTAAATGTGCTGATCCAAAGGACGATCAGGACAGCACAAGATCTTTAGATGGTTTCCAGACTTCATCATCCTCACTGAAGAGACACAGGGACGGCGATGAGGGAGATGAAGATCACTCTCACAGGAAGAAGCTGGTAAGCTCCCACCATCAGAATTGATATGTAATGTTCCATAGACATCTATTTATTGTTATTTATTTAGAAAAGGGACAGTGTACATTAATAAACATTCTTAAATGTAAATGTACCCAAATTAGCCCAAAGGCTAGTTTTCATTGGTAGTCCCTTTGCCAGATGTTATTAGGCTCTTAACTAGAAAAAAAGAGTTAAACATTACAGCAATACAACAATCATAAAACCAGAAGTATACAAAAAGACAATATATGAAGAGTTCAGATGCAAAAGCCTCTAAGTGCCATTTGAAATTTTCTTCTAAAATGATCATTTTTATCAAGCTTGTATATTTAAGTTCAGTAATTTCACTTAAATGACAATTAATAGGTAATCTTCATTGCCATTTAAGTGAAATTACTGAACTTAAATATACAAGCTTGATAAAAATGGTCATTTTAGAACAAAATTTCAAATGGCATTTAGAGGCTTTTGCATCTGAACTCTTCATATATATGCAGACACAATTAAACAAAAAATAGAAATTAAAAATATTTTAGTTAAATATGAATGAATAGGTCTATAATAAAATTAATAATAAGGTTAGTAATAATAATAATAATAATAGAGGAGCAGCGTTAATGTTCACAGTGTTGGTTATGTAGTAGCCATTTCTTAAGATTAAGTTTAAAAGAGTTAAATGATGAGCACTCTCTAATCTATGTAATTTACGTTGACTCTTTATAAACTCCAGGGAATTTTCTCTGGATATTTATTGTTTATTAAAATTGAGCTGTAGTGCTCAGTATGGATATATTTTTTTGACAGAAATAAAAACGAGCCGAGTCAGTACAATATATGTTTCAATAGATTTTACTGTTGTTCAAAAACTTGCAAGTTCTTCAGTTGTTTCCTTATAAAACTAAACTAGACAGGAACTCCACAAAACAGTTGTAAGTTCTGAAATTTTAGAGGCTTTGTTTAAAAACATAAAATAAATTGTAATGTTTCCTAAGTCTTGATTCAATCGTGATCATATTCAGTCAAAATTCAATATGATCACCCTGACTAAGGTTAATTATTATTATTATTAGTTCCACAACTTGTATGTATTCAAAATGCATGAAATGTGTAAAATGTTTAATGGACCCTTTCCAAATGTCCTCAGAAGTGGGAGTCATCATAGTTTGGTACATGGCTGTGAACGGAAATGACAACAATTATCATTTTTGCACTCCCATTTGCTCCAATAATGAAAGAAAAAAATCCACAATAGCGTTTTTAGGATTTTACAAAAGAAGGAAAAACATAAAACGATTGATCATTTGCCGTCACTCCCTCAGCCATTGTGTTAGAAATGCTTAAACAACTGTGTTAACAAGTTTTCTGCAATTTAATGGCAAGGCAATATAACATAGTATAGCGTTACAAACATCAACAATAATTAAAAAAAAAAATGTTTGATGTAATTTTTTTATTTATTTGATGAATACAGGGCTCATCAATAAATCACCTGAGTGTATTAAAAGTGGCAGCTTAAAATTAGAAATAAGCACTATTGTAATAAAACCAAGTATTCAAATGAAGCATTTTTTGCAATTGTCATTCATCTCTGAATCTAGTTACTGAGAAAAAGTGCTAGTAGTAATGCTAACGTCTCAGTGTGCCAACTCATCTGCCCAGTTCAATACATGCTTTATTTTTGCAGGTCACAGACGAATCATTTCACAGTCAAAAAGTGGCCACACATTACAACAAACTTCAGGAGTGTGGCCTGGTAGAGCGTAATAAAAGCAGGATAGTCCACATGCGCAACTTCAACAACTGGTTGAAGAGCGTTCTTATTGGTGAGAAGAACACAGGCTTTCTTTCATCTCTCAAACTCAAAATGTTTCATGTCACCGTATTTAGTGGCATTTGGGTTAGTCAGGCATGAGAATTATTAACTGTTCTGGGGTCTGTGTGTTGGTCTCCTCAGGGGAGTTTTTGGATAAGGTGAGGCAAAGACGGAGAGATATAACCGTGCTGGATCTGGGCTGTGGCAAAGGTGGGGATCTTCTCAAATGGAAAAAAGGACGCATTGATAAACTGGTCTGTGCAGGTAACTACACGATCCTCTTCATGCTTTCCTGTGTCTGTAAAGTTATTTGGTCCTTACACCATAAGTGGGCCATATTTTTTTGCTTTTCGAAATGGTAAAGCCAAACCTAACCAACAAAGTTTAAAAAGTTTACCATGTTAGTGGTTTGCTAACAGTGTTGGGTAAGTTACTCCAAAAAAGTAATTAATTACTAGTTACTAATTACCTCTTCAACAGTGTAATTAGATTACTGTACTGATTACTCTCTATAAAAAGTATTTAATTACTTTTAATTACTTTCAAAATCCCACATCAATCTCAACCAGCTGAATAATACAAGGATAGACATGAATCTGTTTTAATTCTTTCAAATAAATAGTATAAAATTGCATGAATTATCCTTAAACAGACCAAGGTGGAGAAGGTTACATTATTAAAAACACACTTTTTTAGCATCAGACAATACATTTTGATGTTAAACCCACTATTGTTTTATGTCTGATCTCATGACATTTCACACTTTTTTCATACATATTTTACAATAATTCGTACGGGTCGTATGATTTAGACACCTCATAAAACGCATACGAATCGCTGTGAGATCGGATTGATCTATACACAGTATTTACCTTAATTACATCAGAAGTAACTAGATAAGTGAAGAGTAATCCCTTACTTTATATTTTCAAGGGAAAAGTAATTAAATTACAGTAACTAATTAGTTACACCCAACACTGTTTGCTAATAGTAAATAACACGTTGCTATGACATTTCATTCCGTCCAGAATTTTGAATGCAAACTCTTATCGGCCAGTATAATGATCGACCATTAATTAAGAGCATTCACGCTAATATTTAGCTCTATCCACGTGTGATCAGACCATCCAACACTGATGTTAACCAGTGGTGGAATGTAACGAAGTACAAATACTTTGTTTCTTTACTTAAGTACGTTTTTCACATATTTTTACTTTACTTAAGTAGAATAAATAGTGCATACTTTTTACTTTTACTTCGTTACATTTTGCAGCAATTATTATACTTTCTACTCCACTACATTTCTACAACTTCTGTTACATTTTCTGATCAGTTTTTTCCCTGCCAAAACGTAATCCGACCGTCCGTTCGTTGCACGTTTGTCTCACCGGTGACGTTTGGTTGCCATATAGATACATCAACTAAATGCGTCTCGCACGCAGTGTGTTTATCGTGCAATTTATATGCGAAAATTTGTTTTTACGTGCATAGGAAACACACCGTGTGTAATATACTGTATGTTTGGTTAAAATTATGGCAAGCCAAGAGGTTCAGAATTACACCATAAATTAATCTCGTTTACTGCCAAACATAGTTATTAACATATAAGTTAGTAAGGATAAGCACGGTTTATATTGCCTAATTACAAGCTTTTTTCAGAAATGGTGACATTTTTTTTCCATCATTATTGAACATCATTATAGGAGTATTAGGTTGAATGAGTTAGAATTAAATGTTTTATTAATCATTAGAAAATAGTCATTAAGAGAATCAATTGTTATGCAAGTACTTTTACTTTTAATACTTAAAGTACATTTAAAATCAGGTACTTTTTTACTTTTTACTTAAGTATGGTTGTCATTGTGTTACTTCTACTTTTACTAAAGTAAATATTTATCTGATTATTTGTACTTTTACTTGCGTACTGAGATTCAGTACTTCCTCCACCACTGATGTTAACAGCAGGTGTAAATGGCCTGACTTGCTCGTAAATGTATAAACTGCGTCCTTTTTTTAAAAATGTCTTCATATTGGGTATCGCACTTTCTTCTGTATTTATGTTTGCATGTCACAGATATCGCTGCGGTGTCCATTGAGCAGTGCCAGCAGCGCTATAATGACATCAGACGGAGGGGTCACCCAAACGACCGCACGTTCTCTGCCGAGTTCATCACCGCAGACTGCAGCAGGGTACGAGCCAGTGGGTTTTTTTTATTTAGCAGTGCACGTTTCATTTGTTAGAGGGATTCTGTTCATTTTCAAAAAGGAGAAACATGAAAGTCATAGGGGTCACACACTCTGTCTTTCTCAGGAGCTGCTGTCGGAGAAGTTGCGAGACCCCGAGATGCAGTTCGACTTGTGCAGCTGTCAGTTTGTGTATCATTATTCCTTTGAGAGCGAGCAGCAGGCTGACACCATGCTGAGAAATGCCTGTGAGAGACTTCGGCCTGGAGGATTCTTCATCGGAACAACTCCAGATGCGTACGAGCTGGTGTAAGCCCTCACACACACTCTTACTCCGCTGTTTATATCTATAGAGCTGGTAAGTCCCGCCCATCCGTAAAACTCCAAGTGGACCTCTAGGTTGAAAAAGCGTCAATGCAAGTGAATGAGAGAAAATAATTATTTTCTGATCCCGTTTGAATTGTGCCATGAATGTAACATATGTTGTCTGTGAATTTTTTTAATATAATTTCTCATGTAACAAGTTTGACAGTATATTGTATGATTCTTTGGCTAGCAGTTGTGGAATAGACATAACGAGAAAGACTACACGTCGCATAACACATTTTCCCTCCACAAATCACGGTTTTCACCACGCTCAACTAGTTTGTCCTCTCCCTGAAAGAAGGCGGTGAAGTGCACCAAAGACACAGGCATGTTTAACGGGATCCGTGTGCTAGTGGTGGTGACGTATATCAAACACGTCGAAAGAGTTGTAGTCCACAAAGTGCTCTAACACAAAGTCTAACCGTATAAAAATTCTTTACACGAAACGTTATATAAAAAATTCAGAGACAACATATGTTCACATTCATTGCAAACTTCAAACGGGATTAGAAAATAAATATTTTCTCTCATTCACTTGCATTGACGATTTTTCAACCTAGAGGTCCAGCAGGGCTAACGGAAGGGGCGGGACTTACCAGCTCTATTACGGTTTATATGCACTATGTGTTGTAGGGCTGGGCTAAGTGAATTTAAACACTGTCCACAACAGGAGTTGCACATTATGACTAGGACTTGACTTAGTTTAAGTTCACTTGTGCATGCCCAGGCAGGAATAATGCCTGTATAAATATTTATATATAAATATATGTTTGATAAATATTTATATATAAATATATGTTTGATGTATAAATATCTGATTAATCGCATATAGGATGTGTAGGAAATTAGCCTGCTAACAAAGCGCTTCAGCACATGCAGCTCAAACAGCAGTGCTGTTCTTTGAAACAAGTAATATTCATTTTAGATGTTTAGTTTAGTGTGTAAAATACATTTTTAAAATGGCACTGGTTCAAACTAGGCTAACTACTGCAAAAGTGCTTGGGACATAGATTTTAATGGTGATTCTTTTGTTTTTTGTTTTAAATCAAGCTCTCAAAAAAAAAAATGTAGATTTAGATTATTACATATAAAGAGATAATTAGTATCGACCAAAATTTTCTTATCTGTGCGTTCCTAGTGTCTGCTTAAATATTTACACTACTGCTGTTGAAACGTTTAAGATTGGTAAGGTTTAAAAAATAAAATAAAGGCTGCATTTATTTGAACAAAAATTATTCTAACTTAAAATTTCTAATGTTTTAATATATTTTAAATTAATTTATTCCTATGATGCCAAAGCTGAATTTTCAGCATCATTACTAAAAATATCAGAAATGATTCTAATATACTTATTTGCTGCACAAGAAACATTTTCTTATTATTAGCAATGTTGAAAACGGTTGTGTGTCTGCTTTTTAATCTTTTTAACATTATAAATGTCTTTACTGCATCAATTTAATGTATCCTTGCTGAATAAAAGTATTAATAAAACAAAAATCTTTTTTACATGAAGTAGGAAATACAGTCAGCAAATAATTATGTTAAATATTTGTAATTTATTAATATTTATTTCGATACAGCAACATGACAATCCTTAGTATTATTGACCTACATATATTCTAAGTTTACTCTGTTCAGAACTTTAATTTTAGCATTTTGATGCAAACAAATCATTCAATCTGTTTTAAACTGATTCACTAAAATGGATGAGTTGAAATGATCTGCGTTTCCGCTACTAATGTTTAAATTAGGGATGGGCAACGATTTATCGCAATTAATCGCATCCAAAATAAAAGTTTGTGTTTACATAATATATGTGTGTGTAGTGTGTATAATTAATTTGTATATATAAATACCCACACATGCATGTATATATTTAAGAAAAATGTGTTATTAATAGATCAAATATTTATATTTATATATAATATTAATTGTGAATAACTATATATAAAATATATACATGCATATTTCTTAAATATATACATGCATGTGTGGGTATTTATATATACAAATTAATTATGCACACTACACACACATATATTATGTAAACACAAACTTTTATTTTGGATGCGATTAATCGTTGCCCATCCCTAGTTTAAATCAGAGATGTGTGCAAAGTATCACATGATTCACAATGATTCACAATGAAATGATTCACAATTCGCAACGCCAGCCACATAACTGATATTGCAGTTTATTCAATGATTAAACCTCACATGTTAGGAGAACAAAACAGTAATTTATTCATGTTAACCAATACTTTCAAACTGATTGCTTTTAAATAGGAAGCGCTTGGAGGAGTCAGACTCCAACAGCTTTGGAAACGAAGTGTTCAGTGTGACCTTCCAGAAGAAAGGGGAATACCCTCTGTTCGGCTGTCAGTATGACTTCAACCTGGAGGGGGTTGTCAATGTCCCAGAGTTCCTGGTGTATTTCCCCTTGTTTGAGGAGTAAGTATCTCAAAACACATCGCGTCATCATGATTGTTACTTTCCTGGTGTGCCTGCAGAGGGCGCAACAGCTTCATAAATACATGCTTGATTTTTAAGTGTATTTCTGCTTCTAGAAAATTCTTATACAAACATATTATTCAACTGTAATGTTTATGTGTTGGGAAAAAAATCATCAATGATGAGTCTTTAAAAAAAATTGAACTTTCTTTTTTTTTTCTGTCTAGAATGGCAAAAAAGTACAACATGCGCCTGGTTTACAGGAAAACCTTCAGTGAATTCTTTGAGGAGAAAGTTAAAGATGAGAAGAACAAGGTTCTGATGCAGTGGATGCAGGCGCTGGAGGTATGTGTGTCGGACCGTCACTGGCTTTTCATAATCGATGAATCTGCTGATAGATTATTTTATCTATTCAATCATTAGTCTCTTAACAATTTGATCTGGTGTTTTTGATTATTGCGAAACATTGCAATCACACATTTTGAGTGCTAAGTAGTCTCTCTAAAACGGAGATGCATCTTATAATGCAGTGTATGGTCTCATGAATAATTGTAACCACAGTTATAATGCATAATAATAATAATTAGGGCTGTGCAAAAATTAATTGCGATTAATCGCATCCAAAATAAAAGTCTGTGTTTACATAATATATTTGTGTGTGCTGTATATATAAATACCTATGCATGCATGCATATATTTAAGAATTATTTGCACTTAAATTCTGTATATATGTATATATAAATACATAATCTATATTATATAAATATTTTATATATGAATAACACATTTTCTTAAATATATACATATGTTTGTATTTATATATACAAAATAATTAAATACAACAGCACACACAAATATATTATGTAAACACAGACTTTTATTTTGGATGCGATTAATCACAATTAATTTTTGCACAGCCCTAATAATAATGCATCTTTAAAACAAAAAGAATATTCTATATTGGTTTAAAATGTGACAATCAATTTCAGATGTGACTAAATCTGTGAATATTATAATGCATTTTAACTTTTTATGTAGTTCTTTCGAAAAAGATATAATGCATTATGATGTACATTATGAATTCATTTATATAATGGCTTTAAGTAAAGTTATCAACATAGTTCTTGTAAGAAAGTAGCAATGGCTGAGACAGACTTTCATCTTTAAATAGTCAAATTTCGTGTATGTGATGTACGACTGATGATCCTGAGCAGGTTTGAGCTGACAGACTTGTTGCTAGGACAGGAATGCCAGGATGAGCATCAAAGAACCTAACAATCCTAGACTAGATCGTGTCAAATAGGGATGCACCGATATGACAATTTTGCCCGATACCGATAATTCTTTATATTTGAAAGCCGATAAATCTAAATCTAAATTTTTAGACAATTTTTGAGAGCCTGTTTATAAAAAAAGTTCCTCATTAAAAGTCAAGATACAAACACAATTATGATGTTCTTATTTTAATATTGTGTAGCCGATATGACAGACTTTGCACTTTAACTGGAATTTCCTTTTTTTAAAGTGATTTCAATCATATATCAAGCAATTTAAAAGCATCATGTTGAACAGTGCACATCTAAACTGAAGGAAATAATACATTAGTCATCAGCTTTTAGATATCGGCTAAATGTTCTTGTTGGGCCGATAACGATAACATTAAAAATGATCATTTATCGGCCGATACCGAAAATGTGGCCGATATATCGTGCATCCCTAATGTCAAATCGTCGATAGTAAAATCCAGACAGCAAAAGGAGAATGGGCCTGCCTTGAACTGCTTTAGAAAAAGAAACTGATGAAACTGGTTTGATTTTTACCACTTTCACTGTCAGCCAGACCACTTCCTTTGGTGGGCTGTTTTGACTTGACAGGCAAGCAGTTGGACATATTACTCTTTGAACTGTATAGGCATGCCCTAGCAACCATAGTGTATCCTAGCAACATGCAAATGCCAGATCTCAGCTCTACAAGATCATAGTGACCTAGAAGTTGGCTCTTTTTTGATATCATAGATAGGCGACTGAAAATATCACCGTGGTAAAGGTGTGCAAATGTATAGCAGCACGAACAAGCCACATCTACTGTATGTACCAGAATATTATACAGTCTTGCAGTCACCCAGAGCAGAGTTTTATTTAGTGTTTTCTGCTTATAGAACCATATCACCTAATCTTTTTAAATAGTTTGTCTTATTTTTTTAATCTTGTTGTCATAGCAATACCCACCGGACGAGAGGGGCCGACTGGCGTCCGACAGTCCAGGGGAGTATGATCATGCCAAGAGAATAGCTGCGAATCCTGCTGTTAGACATCCACTGGTGAGCCTTAATGTGTTTATTTCCTTTTCTTTAAAAGCACAAAGAAACAAATCTTTGTGTTAATTGTGTTCTGATAGTTTGCTCTTTCTCCACAGGGAACCTTGAGCAAGTCTGAGTGGGAGGCTACAAGTACGTGGTGATGTTCTTCCTGTTAAACACGAGTGTCTTTTGATATTGAAAGATGCTTTAACTGTTTTCTCTAAGGTTTTTCTGATTTCACAAAACAAAAAGATGTAGGATATTAATTCAAATTTATGATTTTGTTTGATCTCCGTATTCATATGCTGGAAGTCTCTTTTTTTATTTACCGTAAAGCTCTGCCCACATACAAGCCAAGAAATGAAAGACCGTAGCTGTGAAAAAAAATCTTTTCTTCTATAGATATAGTTAATTTAATTTAATTTAATTAATTTTTCCTTCTAGTGAAGTACAGCATATGGTTTGGCCATCAAAGAAAAAAAAAAGAGCTTGCACTAACAGAAAAGTAATGCTATGCTAGTACTTTCTTTGATGCACTATGCATAAGATGGATACGAATGTGATTTGCATTCAGTACTATGTGTCAAAATAAATTTAAACTATATGACTGTCAAAATAAATTTGTTTATATTTCATGACAGGCACATTCTCCTAACGGTCCTCTCTCTGTTTCTATGTACACTTAATATGAAAAAGAAAAAAAAAAAGAAAAAAAAAACAACAACAATTGAATATTTGTACATTTATACAAAAATTTTTTTTTATCAGTTTCTAAAAAAAATATATATATAGCTGCACAAAATTAGAAATGTTTCTTGAGCAGAAAATCAGCACATTAGACTGATTTCTGAATGATCGAGTGAGACTTAAGATGAATAATTCATTTTACAATACATTTTTAAATAAACACTCATTTAAAATTTGAATAATATTTCACAATATTACTGTTTATTATATCAAATAAATGCAGTCTTTGTGAGCAGAAGAGACCTCAAAAGCATCAAAAAAATATTTTCGACCCTAACCTGTTGAATGGTAGTGTAGCTTTGAAAAGTTTAATTTATTTTATGAAATGTTTTAAACAGATTTAATTCAAGTTTGTTAGTTATGGAGACATATTTAGTTAATTGCTTGGGTATATAGAATTTTATATGTTGTATTTAGTGTAGAGTAAAATTGAGATTTATTTATTCACGATTAAAGGTAACTCTGGTTTACACCTAGTATCAACATTCATTTTGGGTGATGCATTGTATTATATATATATATATATATATATATATGTATATATATAACTATTAGATTCATCCATGTAAGCCGACTAACAAGGGTTTCTGAAAGTGAACGTGTAGTTGAGTGTGACAAAAAAGAGGTGTGGGTCTCCACCAAATCTGAACAATAAAAATTTCTTAAATCTTAAATAATAGGCGATCTGGTGCTGGAATGTGAAGCGCATCTTAATTGGTGAAACCAGGCTTTCTTGCTCGCTCGATTTTTGGGAATTTGTATATGATTTGGATCCGCTATCAATATGCGGGAGGCTTCCGGGCCTTTCAGGAGAGGTGGGATCTGTGCAATTTTGATTAGTCCACAATGAAGTATCATCAGGATTCACTTTCACATTTGTGTATATATTTCCATAGAGTATATTTTTGGTCTTAATTTATTTCAAAAAGTGATATTTTTGCAGTTTATTTTAGAACATTTTCCATGCGATGACCAACCACTCTCCTTCCTCTCTCTTTTTTTAGGCATATACCTGGTGTATGTGTTTGAGAAAATGTCATGAGTCTGAGGGATTCACTATCGAGTTGATGAGTGAGCCACGCTTGTGGGATCTCATTGTCATCCATTCGGTTTCCAAAAGCCTGCTGAGCGTGTCCATTCTGCAAACCATCAAATATTTTTATACAAACAGGGCTTTTCTTTCATGAGTGTTTGTTCAAGTGTATTTTGAGCTTGTGTAAGGAAGTGAATACAAATGCAAATGGTCAATATTCTGTCTGATACTGTATTTCTGTTTGTCTTTAACCTTTTCACCCGCTACCCTTTCTCTTCAAGTCAAGCGATGTACACACCTGGTAAATCTTAGTCATGCAGTCCATTAGGGGTTTTACTTTGATTGTGATCTACCCTTCCCTTCTAGCTTGATCGAACACTGTCTTGAGTAACAAAACAAAGCTCTGTCCATTTGGCAAGAATATTGTGTGAAGTTAAAACTAAAGTTTTATTTGATATCATGTTTAATGTATGACTGGGCTGGGAGTGGAGGTGTGTCCAACTTTAATCCATGAAATCTTTTTATTTTTAGTTTTTTTTTTTTTTTTACTTGTCAGTTGTTTAGTAATTGATGGCACAATGCGTTTCTCTTCAAATGTATTTGAATACCAGAAAATATGTTTATTTCTGTCTGTACCCTTCTGATTTCAGTATATAGAGTGCTAAAACCTGGTTTAGGAATATTAAACCTTGAATTACATCAATTGTATCCCTGTGTCTTTCAAGATTATTTTCAAGGTAAGACACACTTGCTGTATACACTCTCATATTACAAAAATCGAATAGTCACTGCAGGAAATTATATTATCATTAGTCACTATTAGTTTCCATTTCAAAGTTTTCAGAATTTTTTTAATATAGCCAGTAGAACATTACGATTTGAGTACACTTTAAAATAATGTATTCCTGTGATGGTAAATGCTACGTGGGATGTCCATATCTCAGCTCTGGAAGGGTCTAGAGCCTCCATTTTTGCACTCGGGTCTAAGTCTCATGGCCCTCTATCAGAATCCAGAGTTTTGAGAAGATTGGAGGCACAAGACAACGTACAGGCCTGTACTGTCTATCTATGGTACAGGCACATGCATGTTCTTTAGCGCGCATGTCGCTCTCTAGCGCTCAGTGTCGCTGTGGTCAGTGCAGGAATTACATGAGAGTAGCTCTGGGAAGAGCACAACTGTCACAAGCGTGCGGGAGTCAAAGCCTGTAGCTGCCTACGGATCGATTCTGTTCGCCAGGTATGTTCATATTTAGTAATAGATAAAAAAAAAGAACATATAGTAGGATTTTAATGACCCGTATGAGTATTCGTGTGTTGCTGTGTCGAAAGATTTGGTTTTGTTAGTGTGTTTAGCATGCTAGCTGGCTAACCATATGGTGTCGTTAACCAAGCCCAGTATCTCCGCTCACTAATCTATCTCAACTCTTAGTTACAGTATGCAAGGTTTTACGTCTAATATTTAATTTTTAGCCCCTGAATGTCCTTTTAAAGTCTGGATAATCGCCGGGTTGTGTGAAATAGTGCTAAATGTACAGCTAATGGGCTATCGAGCCTCAATTGCATTGACGGCTAACTTAGCTCAGTCATAAACTGCTAACATTGAACAGTAAAACCGCCCATTATTGTGTATTGACACATATTATTTGTGATTTAAAAAATCCTGAATGCAACAATGCTGTAATAGTTGTTAATTAGAGATATTATTCTCCTTTAATATGTAACTAAAAGAGATTATGTATCTCCTGTAACCTTGTTCACTGTGTGATTTTGTTTCAAACAATAACATTAGCTGCCTTCCTGACATTGTTATTGGTTCAAACTGAGCCAAAGGCAGAACATGGTGTACACTAACTTAGTAAAATCTCTGATATCATATGCCCTCTATTAAGGACACAGTTTTGGATGAGTATTATTAGACAGCATTTTTATTAGCTCAATAAATTATGGAATTTGGATTGTTGACTGAAAACAAACACACAGATAATGTCATGTTCTGCAATTGTTTCTTGTTTATTCTTGATCGCTGTGTATGTAAATATTTCGACTTTGTCTGACTGAGACCGTGTATGTTATTGATGTCATTTTGTCATCAATCCAACAGCATGGCGCGTGGACACCAGAAACTCCAGTCTCAGCAGAAAAACGCCAAGAAGCAGGCGGAGATCAAGAAATCCAAAGGCCACGACCAGAAGACCGCGGCGAAAGCGGCACTGGTGTTCACGTGTGGTGTCTGCAGGGTCAGTTGCAATTAAAGCAGGTTATTTTTACCCCACAGATCATCTTTGGAGGTTCTTTTCAACCAAATTCTATTGTTTTAATGTTTTATAATCACATTTCATGCACTATGGAGTTTTACTGAACATAGCTCAAGGAATGAACTCCTGTTTGCCCTGCATAAAGATGTGTTGTCTATATAAAGCTTCAAATGTTAAATATGGGTGTATACAGAGGGTGGTTGTGCTGGGAAATTTTGTCACCAAGTTAGAACTTGTCTCTGACTGTGAAAGTTATTCTCACTGTTGGTATCAAATCAGACTTGTCAGCACACCAACTAATTACCAGTAACTGAGAATCACACGTGCATGAAAACTGCTTAAAGTCAAAATGAAATGGCGTTCGCAATGTTCAGAGAATTTCCTTAATAAGGTGCACGTTAATGGTTAAACAACTGATAAATACAATTATTTTGCTCAAAAAAACATAACTGTGATTATTAGTCATACTTGTTCTCATTAAACATTTAATCAGAATTGTATAAGCTCAATTCAAGAGAACATCAACTCATGTGCAGGGGTTATTTTATTTACATTCATTATATTTACCATTTACATCAACACACTCTTAACGTTGTTCAAACTGGCGAAACCTTAAGAAGCTTTCCACAAAAGCGATTTTTATATTTTAAAAAATATACATTTTTATATTCGTTGTATACATTGTATTGTAACACAAGTAAACATGTGAAGGAACACAGACCTATACACTCATTTGAGCAGAATTTGGCGGTGGAATTCACTAAAGTTCAACATGTATGTTTGTCGGTGCTTTCAGATCATCATCATATGGTTGGGAAGTTTTGTTTTCTTCACTACTGTCGCCTTTGACTCAGTTTTGGCTTAGTTGTGGTTTAAATTAAAAATAATTGATATTCACACTAATATTTAACTAAACTGACATTAGCTGTGTTTCCATAGAAAGTTGACAATTTAACTTAGCTTAAAATATCACATAAAACATTTGCAAGTAAAGCAGCTTTTCCATCCTTTGTGTTCAAGAGAACAAAATCGCCACTTCATGGCAAATTGGTGCAAAATATCTGTAATATTCAGGGTACCTACACAGTTTGGAAAAGTATGGAATTTGATTTGAGTCATTTTCCAGGTCTGGAAAAGTATGGAAAAATATTTGTATTTCCAGACTATTGACTCTATTTAGTTTTCCATAATAGAAAATTACGAATTGAATGAAAATAAATGTATCATACCAAAGAAGTGTTTTCATGACAGCTGTTGAGTGATTGTCATTACGACTGAATGAATTCAAGTTGCGCTTTTTCAAAATGCAAAAATGCAGATTATACGTTTTTTGGGTTTCTTCTCATGATATACAGAGCCACTAAAAGGATCTTTGCAAAATAAAACATAAAAACAACAAAAACAAAAAAACGGCCGCCATAGAGTATGTGTTAAAGCAGACCTAAGATCTAGAAATAGGATAATGTACTGCCCTAATGAAAGCCAAATTTTTTTTACTCACCAGTGTTTTTATAGACCATTAAACTTGGCAAATAGGACAATGCACACAGCCATATTGTGCCATCAGCCCATTTCCTGTCATGTTTTGTTTTTGTTTGCTGCCATGAAGGATGCATTAAATTGATATTAGAGGCACTACCCCAAAGAAAAGGCAAATTTTTAGCAAATGGGCCCAGATTTCTATTAACGCATGTGCGTATTTGCTTTCTTTTTCTTCATAGATTACGTTAGTAGATAAAACTAGAAATTGTAATGCATAATGGAAAATAATTCCTGTGCGCATGTAAATACGGTAGTTTTTCGAGGGCACGATAAAGTTTCTTGTGAGCGTGCAAAAGTCTGTTTATATACACTACTGTGCAAAAGTCTTAGCCACTTTAGTATTTTCACCCCCAAAAATGGTTTTAAGCCAGCTTTGTATATATTTTGCTGTAGTGTGTCAGCTTACATTTCCAAACATTCATTTTGCCATTAATGGTTATATTCCAGCGAGATTTTTGTTTCAACTAGGACTGACAAGAGCCGGTATAATCTGTACATAACTTTTCAGGAATATTTCTTCAAGAGTCTTGGAGATGTTGCCTCAATTCTTCTGGATTTAGTATTTTTTTCTGTTTCGTCATGCAATCCCAGATGGACTTGATTATGGTGAGATCAGATTTCCGTGTGGAGCATACTGGCTGTTGTCAGACTCCTTATGCATATAAAAATCTCACTGGGATATTATAATGGCAAAATAAATGTTCATAATGAAGTTGACAACATTAACACTGTTATTTCCCTGTTTTATTAATGTGAAGCTGCTTGGAAACAATTTGTAATCAATAAAACAATCAAAAAATTTAAAATAGAATAAAGTAAAAGCTCTGATTGTGGGATTTAAACTCTGGCAACCTCAAGAATGAAAACATTACCAGTGCAAAAGTCAAATGAAAGAAAAAAAAAATCAGGTTAAAATTGGCTGGTCTATTTTACAGACGGTTAATTAAACAATATAATACATAATGTGATTTTTGGTCAAACCGCTCACCTTATCCTTCAGGAATTGATTGGATAATAATGACGTTGTGAAAAGTGTTCTTCGCCAGTAAATTCCTTGAGACATAATGTGATGAACTAAATAATGCAACCTCTTTGTTTTGCAGTCACAAATGCCAGATCCCAAGACCTTCAAGCAACATTTTGAGAGCAAGCACCCCAAGAGCCCCCTTCCCCCAGAGCTGGAGGGCGTTGAGGCATGAACGGCCAAGAGACCGGAGGCTGATTGTATAAAACCTCATAATAAGGGTCCTGATCTCAAATTTTGTTCAGCAGGACACGGTCAGTGCTCTTACCTGAGTTTTATACATGCATCCTCCCTTTCACCACAGACACGAATCCCGTGGATCAAAGACTGATGATGTTAAGCTTCTCGACACTGTTTCAGAGCACTTGCCTTGGCTACGATCAGATCGGTGCATTACCTCAGCCTGCGCTCACATGCTTTCCTTTCTCATCTTACTTGCGTAATTAAACGGATTGAGAGAAGTTAGCTGAACACTACCAGTGATTAAGTCAGTTTCATCCATTGATTATAAATGTGGTAGTCACAGATATATTTGCTTTATGCTTGTTAGATAAGAGGAGTGCAAAATGATGGATATGGGGGCAGTTTCCCACTACTTGACGTTTAGCCTGGGCAAAAAGTTTTTTTATTTAATTTTTACCTTAATTTTCTCAGTTACTAACTTTGCTCTCCACTGAAACTCTTGTAGTCCAAAACAAATGTGGTTCTGTACACTGAAAACTGGATTCTAATGCGTTTCTGTAAAATCACTGGATGTGCCGGAGTAACTGTATTTTTAATTTAATCTCGCTGCAGAATTTCTCATTTCTCTTTGGAATCGTCTCAAACAATATCGCCTCAATGTTTGATATTCCTGTTCAAGCCACCTGGTTTCCACACCAATGTAATATATCTCTTTAATAAAATTTTACTTTGTTTAAGACGTTGTCAGGCATGTGAGGCATGTTTTCAAGTCAGCGTTGACCATTCTGAGAGTGGTGTTGTTGGTTTATTGTAAGTCAAAAACCTTGATCTAAACTAGTGATCTAAACAACAATGAAAAGTGTTATTATGCATCATTACCGTGGCAACAACACGACAGGTTATTAATCACAACACAATCAGACTAAAGTATTTTTGACCTAGAACTCATAGAGTTATAACTAAGCCTTTAAATCCATTTGCTTGATTAATGCATTTGAACTATTTAGTTATTTATTTAAGTTGCAGAGTCAAACAGAGGAATTTATTTTCTCTCTCTTTTTTTTTTGTAAAGATCATTTTAGTAATCAGTTTGTCATAATTGCTTCCGCAAGAGAGCTCAGGTATTTAACTGCAGGGTGCTTTTATCACATTCAGGGAACAATAATGCTTTCCCCATAGTAAATCACTATTTGTCCCACTCTCACTCAGGAGAATGCAGGTAGTCGATGATGATTAAGTGGAAGAACAGGAAGTTGCCCTGCAGGTTGAGACGAGTCGGGATGCTCCTCATACAGGGCACACCCTCCAATAGATCATTCTGATGGGAAGGCTAGTCACAAGGACTAGGTGAAATACAACAGGACCCCCCACCAGACATGATTGGTATATATATATGATTTTTTTTTTTATGAAATTTTGCAGTATTTATGATAAATGACTTATCTGTGCACTTCTTTCCCCCCCCCCCTTATTTAATCTTTAATCAAAATTACTTCCCCTCACTTGCAATGACGTCTCTTTCCTGATCGCATTCACTGGAGCAAGGGCGGGTCAAACTGTCACTCACTATAGCAAACCACAGCCATCCAATCAATTCACAATGGACAAAATCATGTCCCCAGTCCCACCCTACATTTTAATGCCGAGTCGGAGTGTAAAAAGACCTGAAATTGTTAAAACATGATGAATTGCAGTAGTTAAAGGAGTAGAAAAAAAAACTTTTGCTGATAATTTACTCACCCCCGTGTCATCCAAGATATTCATGTCTTTCTTTCTTCAGTCGAAAAGAAATGAAGGTTTTTGATGAAAACATTCCAGGATTTTCTCCATATAATGGACTTCAATGGGAACCAAACGGTTCAAGGTCCAAAAGACAGTTTCAGTGCAGCTTCAAAGGGCTTTAAACGACACCAGACGATGAATAAGGGTCGTGTCTAGCGAAACGATCGCTCATTTAATAAATAAATAACAAAGTTTAAGTTTTATAAGCTCAAATGCTGGCCTTGCTCTGTTCTGTGATGCGCATTCGTACTCAAACTCGTTTATCAAAATGAATGAATCTTTTCCCGAGTCAATTCATTCATTTCGTTCATTGAATGAACCAAATGACACGAAAAAAGATTGGTTTATTTTGATAAACGAGTTTGAGTACGAATGTGCATCACAGAGTTTGAGCAAGGCGAGCATTTGAGCTTATAAAACTTAAACTTTGTTATTTATTTATTAAATGAGCGATCGTTTTGCTAGACACGACCCTTATTCATCGTCTGGTGTCGTTTAAAGCCCTTTGAAGCTGCACTGAAACTGTCTTTTGGACCTTGAACCGTTTGGTTCCCATTGAAGTCCATTATATGGAGAAAATCCTGTAATGTTTTCATCAAAAACCTTCATTTCTTTTCGACTGAAGAAAGAAAGACATGGACATCTTGGATGACATGGGGGTGAGTAAATTATCAGCAAAAGTTTAAAAAAAAATAAACTACTCCTTTAAGATAAAAAAAAGCTTTATACAACACTGAATTGAATATCAAATTGACAGATTTTTAGTGAAATGTACCTTTGAGGTATGACATGCCAAAATCACTATTTTAGAGTTTTTTAATGGGCTCTATGCACGGCGTTATTTCCGGTGAAGGATTAAGGATGCTCGATAACTTCCGCCGATCATAGAGTCCAATGCAATACCGAGAATTTATATTGAATTTTATACTCCATGGTTATACTAATGAAACGTTAGTCACAAAAACAGATAAAACAGACACCCCTCGTTGTGTTTATGCTTCTTTTTAAAATTATATTAAATAAACATAACTATATATAAAATTACATCTAAACGTATGTACGTTTCGTTTCAAAGACGAGAGGACAGTAAATATTGAAGACTCTGCCATAATCCCGTTTTCTCCGGTTTTCCTCCGCTTTAATCTACACAACCGGAAATGGACGAGCATCCTTACGTCAAATGCGGAACTTATGCGTGCATATAGCCCATTAGAGTTTTTTCTCACGGTAGGTTAATTTGATGTTAAGTGATAGTTTATCAATCATAGCTATGTCACACAAGCATTTTGGGATTTGTGGCTCTAGTGTATAATTATGGAACGTGGGAGATTAATTTCTTAGTTTCTTTGTTGGCAATGCACAACTGTGTATTATAAATTGTCTGTGGATTGAGCTGATTTGTGTAAATGACCTCAGATAAATCTCTAGTCTGTGTCATCAATGACTCACCAGTGACAACGATGGTTTATCGCAGCTGAACATGTTGAGGTAGGTGTGCCTGTGGGTGGGGTAAAAATCCTTATGAGTCAAAATCTTACATTTGAGAAAGTGTAGCTTTTTTGAGCAACAGTAATCATCTGTTGATAGTCGCAATATAACTATTACACCACTGATTTAACATTGAAAACCATGCCAACAGGATTGAGATCTGGCTACAATCATAAATTGGGTTGTAATATCTTTACACGACTTTCCAATGAGAAAATGTGACCCTGTTAAAAATTAGAACATGTTCTCTTTATGGACCTCGATGGAAGATAATTGAGACTCTGCTTTTATTAATATCTCATTCCTCTGCTCCAGTTTAGAGGGCGAGCTGCTCTGACAGCGTGTTCAGACCATGTATCAGATCAGACTATATTGTCTTCTTTCCTCTGTTTTCATACCAGACACTGTCTAGCAAGCATGTCTGACACATCAATGTCCTCTGAGTCAACTATTGTGCTTCATTATGATTAACACCCAAGTACAGAAGTTGTATACGCAAGACAATTAAGCACTACATGCCATGTAAATCAGATAAATCTAAACAGAGTATTTCACCAGTGTCAATAACATTTTGATGCATGACTTCACTATAGAAGACAGAAGCCATTTATTATACAAATAAACAAAAGATAATGGTTATTATAAAACATTTTAAAAAACAAATTAATGTTAACTTTTTTTGTGTATAATCATACTTTTTAGATTCTTGTTTTAAATGGGAGTTTTCATATTTTGGGAGGAGTAAATCATTATTTTAATATGTTTTGTTTTAAATATGAATAATATAAAAATTTAATATTTTATATATCAACATTTTCTTTTGATTAATGTGTTAAAGGCATAAATTACATATAAATACAAACAACTGTATTTAGTGTACATTTTTATGTTTTTAAACATGTATTACATTAGCTTTCAGAATTTCATTTTATGTGCATAGTGTTTTGGCCGGTTTTTTTTCCTTCTCAAGTATGAGCTCCATATTATTATTAATCTCATTATATACTACATGGGCCATAAAAGCCAAACAATTTAGATTGCCTACACAAAAACCTGGTGTATCAAATATGACATAAAACACATATCCAAACTTTTTAATGAACTATTTAATTTCAAAAAGACTACTTCATATAACAGGGTTTAGTTTATAGGGTTAATTTAAAATCATAATTTCTCCCCATTTAGATTCATCTCAGAATCAAACGCGCTCGAGGCTCTCCTTGCAGCCATAGCAGCGCACGCCAATCAAAATTCCGGTTGCCTTGGCAGCGGTTGACGTCATGGCCCCTGCCCAGTCCCTGCTCCAGCAGAGTACGAGTGGGACGGAAACCCCGTGGATCGCACGGGAACGCTGTGCTGCGCGCCACAGTCAGTCAGTGAGTGGCAGCTGAACTGTACAGCCGGAGACAGACTCTCATTCACAGGTTGGCTTACTTTCGTTTCATTTTACTCTTCAGTGTACCGTTGTATAAATAAGAACTGTGTTTCTTTGTTCCGAGTGCTCATTTTAACCGAGCAATTTCTATCACGCGAAGCAAATGTTTTGCCGTAGCTAACGTTAAGGTTACTTGTACAGGGATGCTTCGAAGCGTTTGCTTGAGAAACAACTCGTGGTTCAGTGCGGATCATACCAGAATTAAAAGTTCGCCGTGAATTGCTTATTTTAACGCAGCCATGGCTGTTGTGTCACTAAATAACCCCGCTGTTTTCCGCATATCCCTGTTAGTGTTTCAAGCCGTTTCAGATTTCCAGACAACGGAAGGATGAGTCTTCCACCTCCGCACTGAAATCTCACTTCATCTGGTATCATTCACATGTTATGAACTCAGAATATAAGTGTAAAATTGTGATTTATCGCTTTTAAGCGTAGTCCTAGAGGACATCTGGCAAGCTAGATCTTGTCGGGCACGTTGGGTAAAAAGTAGGGCGTTTACCTCACTGCTTTACTACTGTGGAGTTCCTGTCAGTTGAAGGTATCGACCGTGTGTATTTGCTTATGGAAATGATAACGTTAGGTTTTTTTCTCCTGGTCTGCACAATTGAATATGTTCTCTTAGTCTGAAATGGCATTGGAAGATAAAATGTGGCAAAACCCCAGTTTAGCATTGGTTTCGTATTGAGACAAAGCGGATACTAGAAAAGTAACGTAATGTCAGGTAAAGAGCGGAACGCACTCGATTGGACGCGCGCGCGTTGGGCGGGAGCAGTTCGCACACATAAATCCCCGGATGGACCGTGATCAGACTGGATATCAGCTTTATGGATAGATCGAGGTGTCTTGTTTAAACATTGTGCGCTGGTGTGTGTGGACTGGGCGTGGTCGCCGAAGTCATATCCGCATTTTTCTTCTTTTTTTTCTTTTTTTTTCACTCTATCACATATCCTATGCAAAGTAACGGTTTTGTATGGACTTGATGTATTTTCTATAAATGATTAATCACACTATTATTATTATTATTATTAGTAGTAGAAGTATTACATTTTAAATCATGGAACTTCATCTCACACTTGAAACAACAAGTTGCTCTTCTCTTATCAGCGCGGGGCGGGGCAACCTGTCACTCACATGAGATCACAGCAATAGAGCATCACAGTCCCGCCCACAGCCCGAGAGAGCGTTGGTGCCGGAAGTAAATTTCCCATTCATTTCTCCCATTGACGTTTTTTTAGAATCCATATAAAGAGTTTTAGAGCATGTCTGAGGATAACTAAAAGCTACAAGAGCATACAACATATCATTTCGAGTGAAAAAATGAAGAGAAAATCCAAAAAAAGTCAAGGGTACAAGACTGTACATATTTTCATTTCGAGCAAAGGAACTACTAGTCCCATAAACCACCGCGCCTCACTGAAATCGATTGAAGCCACCGTGAAAAAGCCTTTTGAGGGACTTCCAAATCTGACGACGGCCACGTGAACTTTTTCCTCCAGTGAATTTTATATAGTGAATGTGCAGGGAAACTCCTTTTCCTCGATTTACTGAAGCTTATATGTAAAACGCAGCTGCACAGCCAAAACATTGAGCATGTGGCTCACTCATAGGCTGTTCACATCCAATGGCGCATGGGAGTCTCAGAGGTGCGACCAATGAACTAGGCCTACGTCATTACGCGATCTTCAGTCTTCACGCACCTTCACGTGGTTTAACCAGACAGTTACATGACTTCCACCAATGAGATGCATTACTGTGGGATTGTTCAGGATTGTGGGTAATGAAGTATCCAAGACATTGTGAATTAAAGGCATTTATCTTAAAACAAGGTTAGTGCCCGATTAACTTTTGGCATTTATATGAGCATATACAATCATTTAGTACAGCCGTAGCTGGTTTTAAGTCTACCATGTATGGTTACGTTTTTATGGCTTATATCCCAAATGTCAATGGACTAAATTGTATTGAATTCTTACTTCCGGCACCGGCTGTGGGCGTGACTGTGTTGCTCTGTAGCGAACCACAACAATCCAATCAATTACAAATGGACAAAATCAAGTCCTGCACTACATTTCTTTTACATACTATCACAGCTTCTGTTTTGTGACTTTAAAGCAATAGTTGTCATTTACTCGGACATCTTTATGAATTTCTTTGTTCTGCTGGACACAAAATAAGTTCTTTTGAAGAACATGGGTTGCCAAACATGGGATCCCATTTATTTCCATAGTATGGAAAACAAAAATACCTTGAGGTCCATCTGCTGTTTGGTTACCCACTGTTTGTGCTCAGCAGAAAGAAATTCCTTCAGTTTTCGAACAACTTAAGGGTGAGTAAATGATGCCATCATTTTAATTTTTGGGTGAACTTTCCGTTTAAGGCCCTTGTTTTTCAGTTTTACATGATAATAGCTCCAATAAGTCAGCCAACATTTCAGCATTCCTGCTTGGATTCACTCAATTCATAAAAGTGATGTTCACTGAAGTGAGCTCTTCTCTGTGTCAGTGCTAGGAATAGATAGATTTTCGCCTAATATGGGCATCTTTACCTTTATGAAGCCATTTTTAACCCAATTAAATCATCTTCTGTGTTTCATTCTTACATTTAATCAAGAGATTTAATTAGATTAATAAGACACTATATGGCTGTTGCAGGGTTTTTTTTTTGTGGGTGGAGGTCTGTACCTGTACCTAGTTTGACTTTGACCTGCCGATATCAATTTTTACCCAATTCGATTTAATTTTTTCTAACCACTTTACAGCACACACAAACATTTATTTTCTTTAAAGGGGACATGTCATGCAAAATCCACTTTTTTAGCTCTTAAATGCATTTTGTTGTATATTTGGAGTGTTTATAAGTACAGACAAGATGAAATTATTCTCTTCAGGTGCTTCGTTTATATCTTTATATTCTGTTTTGGTCATATTTTTCAACCTGTTCAGATTTTTCTGTTTTCTATAACATTTTTTGAACAATTATGTCACAGTATTTGCAGCGGAACTGCCAAATAAGGACATTGACTACCGGCCCAACGGTTTATTTCTCGCTCCGATTTTGTAGTCCAAGCTCAATGATGCAAAGTTACGAGAAGGCAAGTCAAAATGTTCGGTTGTTGGATGTTGTGACCTGAAGCACTTCAAGGATTCGAACTTCAACAACCTCCGCCAGTATATAAGAAAATAAATATTTCTGTGCTGTAAAGTGGTTCGAAAAAATGAAATCGGAATTGTTTAAAAATAAGTATCAACAGATGAAACTATGAAAAATCGTAATCGGCCAAGAAATTTCTAATCGGTGCGTCTTGTGGCTCCTGCCAATGGAATTTTAAAACGTGGAGCCATTTTACCATTCAGATCAGATGGATCCTTAAGTGATCATCTCTTACCCTTTAGTTCAAAAAGCACCAAAGATTCAACATGATAGTTTACCTTTTCAATCAAGATGTCCAATTAACAACATATTAATTGATCTTTTAATTAAACTGTTTTTTTTTTCTTATAGAACCAAGCAGCCATGGACAAGAGCCAACAAGTGCAGAGAGCCAAGCTGGCGGAGCAGGCCGAACGCTACGATGACATGGCTGAGTCCATGAAGCAAGTAACCGAACTTGGAGAGGAACTGACCGACGAGGAGAGAAACCTGCTCTCTGTGGCCTACAAGAATGTTGTGGGCGCTCGCCGGTCCGCCTGGAGGGTAGTGTCCAGCATCGAGCAGAAAACTGAGGGCAGTGACAAACAGCAGATGGCTAAAGAGTACCGTGAGAAGATTGAGACCGAGCTGAAGGCCATCTGCAAAGACGTTCTGGTAAGCTTTGAAAGGCAAAGAACCACTGATAGGATCATAACAAGTACAAATAATGAATAAAGTCTTGTCAGCAGGGTTTAATTTTGGTCTTAACCAGAAAAAGGGTTGAAAAGTACTAGTGTTCATTTTGTGAAAAGAAAACAAAAAATTACAATTCTGGAACGGAATAGGGTTGTCATGGTGCCTTAACAAAAGCTATTGTAACTATTTTGTTGATTTATTTTTTTATTTATCTGAAAATTATAAATAGTAAATTAGTGTAATTAGTTTATTTTTAACTCTATTTATGAGTAAATAATCCATTAAAACATTTACATGTAGTCTTCAAATATTGTTCGGTTAAATAAACATTTCTTAAGGCTTGCTGCAACAGTCAGTGTTACACGCCACACACCGATTACATAATTTGCCCAGCACAGAACCGCCTCCCACAGTCATTAACATTTTTTACAGTAATAAAAATAATTTAGTTATGTCAGAGAACAGACACTACCATTAAATACTGAATGGGTCGTCTCAATGTCTCCTCAATGCAGCATGAGCCGAACAAGAGTCGCAACACACAACACAAAAGATTGAGGAGCTGACTAGTATCGGTACTGAAATTTTAAAAATGTGACGCTTTTAGCGCTATTGAGCGGAATCGTCATCAAATGTTTATGATTGGCCACAATGATCAGCGCTTCAAAAACATGTTGTAAATGCACATCAATGTACACCGGTCCACTGATAGACGGCTGCTTGTGCTTTCAAAAGCTCCTGCTCACGTTTAAAAAAACAAACAAACTTTCAAACACTTCTGTGTGCTCTCAAACGCTCCCGTGCGTTGATCATTTTAGCCAATCACAGACATATCCGATGAACGCTTGAACACAATGGCCAATCAGAGGTGTTTACGATTTTGCTCAACAGCGATCAAAGCGTTACATTTTTTAAATATTTCAGCACCGACTTGGTATAGAAGTCTAAACATTAGAGCTTACAAGACAGTGGCAGAAGATTTGGTTTTGAGGTAAAGATGCAAATTATCGATTAATTCATCAATCGCTAGTTGATCGACCTTATCGATCGATTAACTAATAAGCAGCTATTTTCCTGCGAATGTAAATTTCTCTCTATTAACATAAAAAGCTAAATGTTGCTTATACTGAATAAAAATGCGTGTTATATTGCTCAATTGATGTTTTATTGTAACAGTTGGGATACGGTACAGATAATAGCATTTATGTAATGTATCAAAATAAATTATGCACAGAAAATTAATACATAAAAAATAATTGTGCACTGGTTCTCCGGTTGCATGTGAAAACGTGAAGCGACAATATACATTTTAAATAAAAATCTATATGGATAGGCTTAGCCTACACTATATTAAGCCTACATATAATAATATATCTGGTAAACACTTATGTAAAAAACTTGACGCATTAGCAGCAGCACTTATAATCCCCCTTGGTCTGAGAAAGGGAAAAGATTACTAGACCTGGAAAATTAAAATATACAACTGAACACAATTTAAATCATCCCTGAGGAAGGTGACAGTAAAATTAGAGGCGCTGAATTTCCCATACATTCATTTATTTGTGGAGGCCCACCACAATATCAACACTGACCGCCACATTGATTTTTGATGTACTTTTTTTTTTTACTAAGCCTATTTTAAATAGAATTTGATTGCAGAGCGCCGTAGTGCATTCGCACAGCACTATTCGCGAAACTGTAACCTCTCGCGCTCTCTCTTTGTTGGTTATAACGAAATAATTCGCGAGCATGCGGAGCTCACGCTGAACAAACTTTTTTTTGATATTGTCCCAGGTTTTCAGTCAGTCAGTGGTTAGAGGTTGTCGGTTTTGCCCAAACTGTTTCCAGAAACGCAAAACAATAAGCATTTTCTTTAAATGATCAACAAATCAGCTCTTGGTTGCAAGAGTTTTTATTATTTTTTTTCAGGAAACTGAAAGTGAAAATGGCTCTGCTACTGAATAAGGCATTAATGGATCAGACAGGACCATGCCCTCTCCGGGCTGTTTTAGTTGGGTTTTTGCCGGAGGCGTCTTAAACGGTGAAACACGGAATGTTTTGCTTTGCATTTATGACATTCCTTCCCTTTTCCAGATGTTATTTAGACTGTATCCACAAGAATGTGATGTTTAATCTGGCAGTAGGAGGGTAATGGGTTGAAATTGGCTTGTACAAAGGGAGAACCTGCTGGACATTACATCTTGTATCCTCTAAACAACCTTCAAAAGCTCTAAGATGGAGAGATAAAGTACCATCTTGAAGTTATCAGGTGCTTGTGTCTTCGCTGGTAGTCTCAGCCTCTGTTGTCATGCCCACGGACCATTGGCTGAACGTCTGATGCAAATGGCACACAAAATTGGATAATACCTCAGGGATTTCGAAGTCGTCTTCTGATTTCTGGGAGACATGTCATGTTTTTTAACCTCCACCTGGAAGTAGGGTTGGGCGACGTCTACCAATTTGGCATCAGATGATGTCTACAGTAAAACATCGCGATGGACGATGTCATGAATATTCTCCTTTTCACTAGATATTTCCCTCTATATCTCAACAGCAATTTCGATTTCAATGTCGATGCCGTCTAAACATTGATGTCTGTCAGCCATCACGCTGTCTGACGCCAAACCCGCTTATGGAAGAAGAAAGCCGTTCTCTTTACAACTGTGACACAGAGCGCTTATCAGGATCAACTAAATGCTGGATTTTCAAAAGTATGTGAAGTATGTAAAGTTCATGGCACAGACTCTTTAAAATACGTCCAAGAGTTTTACCCTGGTATATCATTGTTGGGACATCGTTACATTTCATGCCCCTTAGCATGACGCGGAACAAAACAAGCTATTATATATATATATATATATATATAGTAGGGGTGTAACAATATATCGTGCCACAATATATCGCAATACAAAAATGCAACAATACGTATCGTGGATAGTGACAATATGTATCGTGGATAGTCCCCCCAAAATAAAAATGACTGTGTGAGAAGTGTCAATACTACATTAAACTACTATATAATGTTGATCTTAATGTATAATAATGCAATGTGGGAATATTTGTGGGTCCTGATAATGCCAAATATCTGATGTTCCCAGTTAAAAGTGTCCTAAATTATTTTAAATATATCTAGCCAGTGAAAGAGTGCAAGCATATTCATCTAAAATAATTCTGTATTTTCAGCTTCAGAATCATGAAAATTGTTATTTTCCTAGGGTTTCAGCACCAAGTCCAAGCCTATTCATTTAAACCCACAATATATTAGCATTTTAATCAACAGTACATTTTTTGTTAACCTTTTACCATGTCTAGGAGTATCGCAAAAATAACGTATCGTGAGTTCAGTATCGTGATATGTGTCGAATCGTGACATGAGGGTATCGTTACACCCCTAAAAAATAGCTATTCACACCAAGTGTGACGATATCTGATGTCTCGCGGTGATGCACCATCTGCAAAGAAAGTTTAACATTAAGATGTCGCAAACACCCATGAACAAGGACAACTGAGAGAAGTTGTGTACATAATTGTTTATGGAACAAAATGAGAAATCTATAGAAAAATGATGGGCATTCATTGGGCAGAAAGTGTGGGAATTTGCAACCCTTGTGCTTGTTCTGACAAGTAGTGTGTCATCACATTAGTTCTGCTGTTTTTCAAGCTCAATATTGCGTTATTACAATTTTACTGTGACATCCTGATATGTTATGGGTATTCATTGGTTGGACTGTGAAAACTCATATCTTGTGCCTAAGATGCACAGTTTTCAGTTCAGTTTCGTCATCTTTGTTCATCCTGGTTGATGGTGAATGATGCCAAATCTTTCTGAAGTCCCTTTTGAAATCACCTGTATTCTCATACTTTGTGTTCAGTCAATTGCGTTTTTGATAGTGTTACAATACCAAAATTATTGTTTCGATACCCATACCAAGTCAAGAATTGCGATTTCGATACTTTTCCTGAAAATGAAAGTAATTGGATTGGATTAGCCTTTATTGTCTCCTGATGGAGAAATTCATCTTTGGCATTCGAGATACATAACACACAAAACATGATTTACATAAATTCACAAATTATATTAATGTTAAAAATGTTCTTACAATGTATTTCTTACAAGGCGTTTCCTTTGCATCGGTCTGTGCTCTTTAAATGCTGTAATAACCTCATATAAATAAATCACTGACTGACATGCACATGCTCTGATTATAATCACATTAAACGTTACACATTAATCAGTCTGATTATACGTTACTGTCTTGCACTGTGTGTTCAGGTTCATGTGTCTCTCATCCACAGCATCTCCTAGACAAGTTTCTGATCCGCAACACTTCTCCAGCAGAGAGCCAGGTGTTCTACCTGAAGATGAAGGGAGACTACTACCGCTACCTGGCAGAGGTCGCCACAGGAGACGAGAAAACCAGTGAGTTTCTCTCAAACAACATTTATTATACAAGATGCACAGTACAATTTATTTTCATTTGAGAAACGGATCCAAATATTAGATGGCCTTTGGTGTTCAGCACAAGCCTCTGAACGTGAGAGTTATGCACACACATGCAGATTTTTGGGAGTTTTGTTAGCTACCAGTGGAACAGGTCTTTACTTGTGCTTCCACACCCTGAATGACTGATTATTGAGGGAATGTTGCACAAAATCTTTTAAAACAGAAATAGTTCATGGCTCCGAATGTACAATATTAAGCAACGAGATGCACACACCACACACCAGGGTTGCATAAAATACTCAGCTTTTCAGTACAGAATGTTTGGTCAACTCATTTTATTTTATAATTCCACTAGTCTTTATAATATGGTGCATATATTTAGAAAATGCTCGTCTCTAGAGTTGACTAACGAGTTTATGGTCACTGAATGGCTTTTCTGAGGTAAGTGTAACATTGTGACATTGTTTTATTGATGTCTTCTTGTGGTTGAAACACTTATTGAGCGATTGCATGAGAGGATACGGATTTCGGTAGGATGTAAGGTATTTTTTAACAAACCTTCTGATGTGGATTCGTATTTAATTTTAGTGCTGTTATTAGTAGTTGAGTGGAAAAGATGATCAGTTCTAATGCGATTTGCTTGATCTGAGGCGACAACAGCGATCTGGCACATTAAATAGTGCCAACTTCATAATGAATTGGACAGAATTTTATATATTTTCATATATCAGTCTTTATATATCAAAAGTAACAAATCACAAAGCGTATTGCAAATTATTATCATTATATTTTTATTTTTTATTTCTGGGATGGGAAGCGCGCTACAATGTTCTCTTCATGCATCAACTGAAAAAACTTTTTAAGAATCTATATTGGTTCGATATGGCTCGATTTTAAAATCGAGAAATATACAGGGCTTGGTAAAAATTTATATATATATTTTATTTATTTTATTTTTTTTACCAAGCCCTAATATTAAATGGTTTTTAAGAGCCTTTTATCAGGGATGAGCCTTAAAATGCTGGAATGATGCCTTAAAATGCTGTCCATATTGACAGCCCACTAGGTTTTGGAACAGACCTGTGTGTGCCCATGAAGAGTCTTACATAACTACCAATATAACTCTTGTAGTGAATTTAATACCTTTTTTTACTCATTTGTTTGTCCTTGAGCTAATATACTGGCTCTGCTCCAAACTCTCCAGCTGCCTACCTAGAGAAATCATAGGCACGCCAACACGAAGGCTGCTCCAAACACTATGCAGCAAAATGATTTACCCAATACCTTGTTTTAGCCAACATCTATTGCAGCATATCATGAAGACAATCTAAGAATGCATTACTTTAAAGGGGTCAAATTATGCTTTTTAATGTTTTTCTTTAGTGTAATGTATCAGTTTTTTCACAATCTACAAAATTACAAAGCTTTTTTATTCTATTTAACAGAGAACATTGATCTAAAATTCCTCGATCAAAGTCCAGATATTAAACCTCAAACGTCCATGTCACAATGTGAAATATTAGCATAATGCCCACTCAAAGGCACGCACAATGAAGGCAAGTGTTGTCTGTCATGTCACTTTATATGGAGCACTTTTGCTTTCTGGAGTTAAGATTGATTTATAAAGCTGTTCCTGAGCAGTACAAATGTAACTTTGCATCCCATTTATCACTTAAAGAACACTTTAATTGCTTTATTACCACAGCAAAAACTCCTAATAAAGTTCAAACATTATCAAAGACAAATGAACAGACAAAATAATAGAAAATGTACAAATAGGTAGGACTATTATTAGTATTCAGGTATAGAGATTTTATGTGAATCAAGATCTGTTTTGCCTCTTCTTGCATTTGAATGGTTTAAAAACATTTTAAATTGGCAAGACTTAAAAACTTTCACTATATAATGTTTAAATGCGATTAATCTGCAAATCACGTGTTTCGTACCTTGGGTCCTGGTTCGTATCAACTACAATCCTTTATTTAGAAGCCTTGGAAGCTGAAGCTTGCGATTATGGTTAGGTGTGTTACATTTCTTTCTTTCTTTTTCTTTTTTTTTTACATTTTTTTTAATTGAAATTTTGTTCGTTTTGTTCCAACAGAATGAACAGCACAACATAAAATAAAAAAGACAACAGCTCAGGCAGACCTTGCAGAAATGCACAATTCTCAATGAAAAAAAAAAAAAAAATAGGTTACAAGGGAAGGTTACATTACATTTCTGACACGCTTGAGGTGTTTCGCCAATCACAATTCACTAGGTCACCTGACTAATCAGAGGAGGGGCTTTGTATTTCAGCATGTTTCAGACACTGAGAATAGAGGAGCTCTGAACTCTGAAAAATGATGTGCTTTGAACATTAATCAAAATAATGAACTTTTAAAATAGCATAATTTGACCAAGTATCTCAAATATAAATACATTATTAGATACTTTAAAGAATTTATTGAATCTTATTAAATATGCTCTATCCAAATATATGTGCATTTTTTGTGCTTATTAGAATAGTGAGTTGTTAGCTTAGCAACAGTTTGGAAGAGAGTGTGAGGTTACCTTTTATAGCGCTACCTGGCTGATCGTGTTTGTTGCTTTTGAACTCACGGGGTCAGTATCAATAGAGTTAGAATCGCATGAAGTATCCACAGACTCCGAGTTTTCATTATATTTGGAAATGAATGATGGCGGTTTAGATCTGAAGGTCTTGTGTCCTAGTTCATAAAGCTCTCGAGACACAAGCTGCTTGCAGATTAATTTGAGATCGCCCAGTGTGATGTTTTCTGCCTCCTTTGCCTATCCTCTCGGTTGCTAATATATCTACTTTATTGCAAAAAAATAGCCCAATCTAGTGATTTGGTTGTGAATTAGGCAGCCGTTGATTTTTGTGTGCATCCAACAAGGACCGTGCAAAAGTAGTGACAACACTAGTATCCTGCTCCACCTAGCCAATGAGGTTATTGAGTGATTTCCCTTCACATGTGGTCTTTGGCTTTGACGTAATAATTCAGTCTTTCCGATAGATGCACGAGGTTATTAGGGCTGCTGCGTCTCCCTGCAGGGTTTGATGAATTTTTAAGAGCCTGGTGTGTTTCTATGGCAGCACAGGAGTGAAGGATCTGACTGAAGCTGCCATCTGTGGAAACGACAGGACCAGACTGTGCAGCAGATCCTAGATCAGTCTATGTTTATATAGTATTACAGTTAAGCTGCGGGTTTTTTATAGATTCTTACGAGAGAGGAAAGAATATGGCTGATCTATTTGAGCATAAGCATCCGCTGACCTACTACTGTCAGTATGATGGGCTGCATGAGCATCGTCATGGCAACAGCATCTGGCTTATGTGTGTTTTCCAGCTGGGTGTCAGCAGTAGGCAGAACCTCCTGCGGGTGGGTTTAATATATGCACCGCTTGGTCACTGTCTCCTAAAGCTCTTAAAATGAACAAATTGAAATGAGCGCTTGCACAGAGCTGACCATCTTCAAATATTTATGTATTTCTCCCGGAGCACAGATCAATATAAGCAAGCAACCGCATTATGAACAAAATGTTAAAACGTCTGTTGTAATGGTCTCCTACACAAGGCAAGGAGAGAGCATGAAACTGTCTTTAGGACACGGGCCAAATAAAAAGCTAATTTAAATCCGATTCAACAAATCCTTAAGAATAAATTGTAAATGTTTTACATGCACTACTCTAACAGTCACCATGGATGTATTTATTTGTTATTGTGAAGTGTTGCAATTTAAAATGACTTTTCTGTTTTAGTATTTTTAAAAATGTGATGGGATTATTATTATTTTCAGCATTATTACTCCTGTCTTCCACTTGATTCTTCAGAAATCCTTTTGAAATCAGGGTTTCCGCGGGGTCTTAAAAAGTCTTAATTTCAAAATCACAATTTAAGGCCTTAAAAATTAATCTTAAAATCTTAATTCATTTTAAACGGGTCTTAATTTTCCTACCTCCATGTAAATCTCAATTGAATTGCTCCTGCAGGGATTATATTTCAGACTTATATAATAAGACCTATTATATAGGTCGTAAATTTCATTCATAATGGTCTTAAAGGGTCTTAAAGTCTTAAATTTGACTTTGTGAAACCTGCAGAAACCTTGGAAATGGAAATGGTAGTCTTTACTGTTTTTGACCTTGCTGAATAAACATTAATTTCTTTAAAGCTACACTGTGTGATTTTTACCCCCATCTAGTGGTGAAAAGATATATGACAATCCAGTGAATATTAGTTTCTGTTCCTCTCAATTCCGATTTCGTTTTAACTCCTACGGTGGCCAATGTAGTCCAAGATTAACATGGCTTCCAGTTCGACCTCGTCCATGAGTGTTAACTCAAACGTAAACGCGAAAGTCGAAGCTTGAATTAACGTGCATGTCCCTCTTTGGCTAATGTACATTCAAGATGGAGGGGCAACATGGCGACCGACATCAGAACCCCTTACCCGTATGTATTTTCAATGGCATATTATACACTCACGAGAATACTTTATTACTCGAACGAAGTAAATATACATTAATGAGCACATATATTTTTGGAAGAACTAAGTGTTTTTAGCTAAGAATAAACTAAAAGAGTTACACAGTGAAGCTTTAAAAATAAATAAATAAATAAACTCCAAACTTTTGAGTGGTAGTGCATATTGTTGGCTTAAATTTTTTTTTTTTCTTAAATTTTGTAGGCAAGTATGAAATGATTCTTGCTTAAATAGTTTTTGTCTTTGTTTGCAGATATCATCCAGAAGTCTCAGGAAGGCTACCAGGCTGCCTTTGACATCAGCAAAGACAACATGCAGCCCACTCATCCCATCCGCCTGGGCCTGGCTCTCAATTTTTCAGTCTTTTATTATGAGATCCTGAACTCTCCAGAGCAGGCCTGTGAACTGGCCAAGAAGGTAAGAATGGATGCTCATGATGAACTCAAAGCTCATACACAATAATGCCCCTTGAGCTTTTGTGTTGAATGAATGTAATGCTTAGTATTATTTATTTATCCATGTATCTGTTTTTATGTAGGCTTTCGATGATGCCATTGCTGAGCTGGACCAGTTAACTGAAGATTCATATAAAGACAGCACACTCATCATGCAGCTACTTAGAGACAATCTGACAGTGAGTCCTTTGTTTGTGATATTAACCCAGTGAGGATATATGAGAAGAACTGAGAATTTCTTGACTGATGGCATTTAACCCTCACTTAATTAAAAACGACGTATTATAATATTATTATAATCATAATAGGAATTTTAAAAAAACTCATACAGATCAGGCATTCAATTCATGTCTTAATTAGTACAATGCAGTAGGCTTGCTACGGTAGTCGGTGTTACCGGTGTTACATGGCGTTCAGTCGCATCACCAGTTTCATCACTTGCTCACCGCGGCACCGCAAAAAAATATATGTATTTAATTTACGATTAATTTAATTTACGATTTTACACCCTCCTGAAGGTGGAAATAAAGGTTTTTAAACGACAAAACACATACACATATTTGAGAATGTGAATATCAGATTTTTCATGATGTATTTAAGTCGGTGGTCATTATGAATAAAAAGTGAAAAACAAAATAAAAGTAATTAACTTATCATACAGAATTATTGTGGCTGAGGTGTCTCGTGACAAGCATGTCGCCATGGAAATAAGGTGAAACGTTTTAAAATAAGAGTCACCTTAAAAACCTTTACGCTGTGGGGTCAGCTACAATATATTAATCATGCACGGTGATTTACTAAGGGTTTGCACTGGTTAATTTACTGTTATTATTTAAAATTAAAAAAAGCTTGTCTTAAAACTAGACACTAATTTGCGCTGCTCTTGGTATATTGTGTTGGTCATAATGGAAATGATCCGACTGCGTCTGTGTTGTCAGAAAAATGCGTGCTTAACTTTAAAATCCCATCGGCGCATTTTTGGAATTGCACTCGTGCTAATTTACCGTTTAATAAATATAAGTGTTTTTATGGTGAAAATAAGGACTAATTTTTTATTTAATTATTTATTTATTTTTACAAATATCTGAACTATCCTATTAACTATTCAGATCTCAAAAAAATGAACGACAAATTTAACTTAAAAATGCAGAGCTTATAATGCGAGAATGTCTCCCTTAATTCGGATACAAATATACCTTTATTGAAAATGCTACTCAATGAACAAAGCAAAAATAGGTACAGTTCCTTATTACTTACTGAGTATCATTATTATAAAGATCTAACCTTGTATAGATCTTGAAATAATTCTCAGAGCGACGTGATGTTACTTGGCTGTACATTTCCATGGATTATGCCGGTTTGTTCTTACGTCCACATAACAAAAACCAATGGTGCCGGGAAATATGCTGTGCGCTTTATCAGTTTAAGATTTCATCTGTGTTGTTAATAAATATTTAATTATCTCAGTTATCAGCAAATTAAAAGGTATGCAGCCCTAGATGCATCAAGTTCCTTTCTACCCTTTTGATTTTCTGCGTTCAAGATGTCGGAAATACACCGGAATGTAAGAGGATGACTGTGTTGTCTTTTGTTTCTCAGCTGTGGACCTCTGATAATCAGGCCGACGGTGAGGAAACAGAGGAGGGCCGGGAAAACTAAAGCCAACTCTACAAAGAACCTTTTCAGTCAGCACAGCGAGAGACGACGCTGACGCTTTTACAGTTCCAGCTTCATACTCACCAGCCCGTCATTTGTGTGTGTGTGTGTGTTTGGATGTGAGAGTGCGAAGGAAAGACTGTGTTTGTGTACGTGTGTTTGTTTGGGAGAGGGGAAACGGGAGGGGGGTGGCAAACACAAGTTGTTTGTCTTTAAAATGTGTTCATTGTGGATTGGAGAATGCAATATAGTTTGTTTGTAAAAATGCTCACTGGGATGCTTCTGCATGACTGATGCGAGTCACCATGAAGTTAGTTGTAGGCGCATATGTGAGAGAACGAGAGATTTCTCGTTGGTGAGTAACGCATACAATCTCTGTCGACCAGACCTAAGATCAAAAAGACTTGACACATGGCTTATACTGTAACTTTGATATAAAAGTCTTGTTACCGGAGTAACGCTTTTCATGTGCTTATCTGATTAATACGGTTTTCTATTAGGATTTTCGGTTTTGTTTTATTTGTACTACTACTACTTACTAAATCTGTTTTTAGTTTGTTTTGTTTACTCTTTTGATACTTGCCTAAAATGCATGTGGCTTTAGTTAATCAGGGTGACTGGAGTTGGCTGATTGGGCTGCCTAGAAACTGTCTTTGAATTTTCATACAGAACACTCAGCATTATTGTTATTTGTTATGGAGGGTGGGCGGAGGGATCTGGATTTCATGTTAGTGGAATTAAAACAGATAAAACACCAACCACATGATCTCTTGGTCTTTTTGCCTTGCTGTTTTCAAAGGATCCTATTTCTGGACTTGAAATGTTCTTTTAGCTTTGCGCTTGCTTGGGAAATGAGGTTTGTTTCTCGGACGCAAAGACGATTAAAAAGGATTTTCAAGCAAAAAAAAAACCCAAAATTGAAAGGCTGCATAATTCATGTTGTTCCACACCTTTCCTGGAACACAAAAGGAGATTTTAGGCAGAATCTGCTCTTGTTTTACTACAAATAGGAATAGGAAATCAAAGCTACCGCAGAGCGTGTCGACTTGGAAAAGTTCGGAACAAACATTTTTATTTTTCTAATCTGAGATGCTGCTTTAATAGAAACCTTATTCTTTGGCTTTGAGTGGTGTTGGTGGTCAAGTGGTTGTCTAATGTCTTCTAAGACCTGATTTACATTCAGAGCAGGAAATAGGTCATATAATCTCTGTGGAAGCTGCAGTCATTTGAGTTTGTAAAAGCCTCCGAGTCCTGCGCCAGATTCAGCGGAGAGGTGACTTTCAGGACAGGTGACTCTGGTAAACGCTGACTAACTTACATGACCTCATCTGACCGGTGTCCTCCAGTCATGAGCACATGTTGAATTGTTCATGTCATGTACTGAGTTCACAATGATTAATGACATCCTGCTTGTGGAAATGAGGCGGTTTTAAAATGTATGAAGATTAATCAAATATTTACAAATCATGTACATTAGTGTATTTCAGTGGCTTGAAATTACTTTTTGAAAGTAGAATAATTTGTTTAAAAAAAATAATCACCCATTGATCTAGTAATTCAGTTGTCTAAAATGTTTGGTGTTTTTGTCAGGAGGTGTAATATAACGTAATAAAATGAATTAGATTAATTTTATGGAAATTACCTTTTGTAAAATTCCATATTTGCAGGTTTTATTAATTCATAAATGTTATATTATAGACGCCTTGAAAACTTATGTAGTTCAATAAAATTAGGGAATTCACATTTTGGTGGCTAGAAATTGCTCTTTGAAACTGGAATAATTCATAAAAATAATATATAAACTGATCCAGTAGTCCAAATAATAATACTGAGCAAAATGTGTGGGGAAAACTGGTTTTGCAGGTTCTCAAAATCTGGTTCACTCCATTTTTCATTTTCTCCACAATCCAAAAACCTGCTAAATATGAATTATCAGTAGGGGTCAACATGAGTGTGAGAGCCCTGTGACTGGTCATGTGCCCAGGGTGTCCCCTGCCTGTGGCCAGACATGCTGGGATAGCCCTGCAGTGGATGGATATATATATATATATATATATATATATATATATATATTCTTTTTTAAATGTTAAAATTCCCTGACTTTCTATATTTATATTATTCATCCATCTGTCCTCTGCAGGACCACTGGAGTCTATCCCAGAGCATGTCTGGCCACAGGCAGGGGACACCTATATATATATATATATAATCCGTTTGTCCATCCAATGAAATGAACTCTAGTGTCCCTGTATGTCTGGACAGCTTCTTGAAAAGGCACTGTTCCTCTCGGTTTGGGTGTGTCGGTGAAGATCCTCGGGCTACGGCTGTGGGATGGGCCCGTGTTGCCATGGAGATGGACAGACTGCACTGAACAACAGTAGCTACTTATGTGGAAAGAGAATGAGTAATCAGCAGGAAGGGATGGGACTGGGATACACTTCTCTGAGTAATGACGAAGCACACTGTCATGCGAGACAATGCATGTGGATTATTGAACACTTCGGCACTTCACAAGGAAACTTTGATATGGGCACCACCAGAGCCTTTGTAATGTGAAAGTCGTTTTTAGCTGCACAATAAGCTCAAAGAACACGTGGAGAAGGATATATAACAACATTGTTCATGAAATTATGAAATGTATTATCAAAATTTGCAATTAGTCTGTACATAAACAATGAAGTGTGGGGGATACAATGTTGTTGGGGGATGCTACCAATAAATGCATTTGTGGATTACGCGCTCACTCACTCGATAGACAGACATGCACAACTTTACTACGGACATCCAGCATAGACATTTGTTCATGTGATGTAATTTCACTGCGGATATCTGCACTGTCAGTGGTTCTTCAAGGTCTGTTACTCCCCCTATTGGTGTTCTTCAGCACAGTCATCTGCAGCTGTTAATCAATCCTGTAACTCACTCATGTAATATGACTGATATAAGTATAACTAAACAAGTAACAGACTGTGCAAGTAAATAAAAGGCAACATTGACACCCCACCTCTCCCTTCAGCACGCTGTCCTATTTGATCAAAGCAACGCTAATTATCACCACTATATACCTTTAAAGAATCACTATCATTGGGGTTGAAATGCAGCGAGTTATTGTTAAATGAATTTTTGGTAAGTTAGCATTTCTATGATTTGGCAATTTTCTGTTCAAGCTTTTATTTTAGTTTAACAAACTTGTTAAATTAAAATAAAAGCTTGGACAGAAAATTGCCAAATTTTCTTTACTAACATATTTTTGTTATATAAAGGTTAAATTTGCTTTTTGTAATCCCTTTAATAGATTTTAATGTATTTCATTTGCCCGGGACCCAGATTTTCAATATTAACCTAAAAAATATTTAAAAAAAATACAAAAAATGTAAAAACAAACAAACAAACAAACAAAAAAAAAAAACATAAACTATTTTAATATGTATTATGTATAATTCTTTAAAAATCACAAATACAATAAATTTGCACCTTATCTTTATATATATATATATATATATATATATATATATATATATATATATAAAAAGATAAGGTGCAAATTTGTTGTATTTGTAATTTTTTTATTTGTGATATATATATATATATATATATATATATATATATATATATCACTTGTTTACCATGGAGAAAACAGTGTCATTTTAATAGATTAATTTCCACTCAACCAATAAGTTTGTCAAACAATGCAAATAGCATGCATAAAATGTAAGCTATGGAATTATTCTTTGCAAGACAACAGGGACAAATGTGACAATGAAACACTGTGGTGGAAATTTGTAGCCTATTACTTCAGAAAAAGAAAAAAAACCTATTGCTTCCTTTGGTCGTTAATGGATAGTATTAACCGTCTTAAAACAATTTAATATATAAATAAAGTAAAGAATAAACTATATTTAACAAAGCCATTTTCAAATTCTACATTAAATTAACTCCATAATAAACTGTAAAAAATTAAATTCAATCATTTATTTTTTTTCCTTTATTTTTTAGACAAATCTACAGGCTCTGAGATTTCTCATCCAATCATCATCCAAACCGGTGAGTTTCTCTCATGCGCGTGCACGGTGGATGACGTACCCGCGGGTATATATGTGACGGCTCAGACCATCCCACTCCTCCCGAAACCCCCGGCTGTCAGTGCTGTGTGAGTGCGTGTGTGCTCCGGAGCTTGCCTCGGCACACATTATATAAAAAATAAAAAAATACAAAAAAATTTAAAAAACTTTTAAAAACCCCAAAAAATCTTTTTTTTTTTTCTTTTTTTAAATAAAAATAAAAATCGGTGAAGTGGAAGCTGGAGGCCTTGAAACATCGCACCAACCCTGAAAAAATAAGGACAGTCTGTGAGCTCGGCCTAGCGGTTTGCTTGATTCGTTGCATTGGATTTTTTTTTTTTTTTCGCGTTTTTACATTTTTGTTACCCTTATTATTTGTCATTTTAAACGAAGCACCAAACGCTTAAATCGTTCCAGAAATAATCTTTTAGTCGACGATTTTAAATTGTAAAATTTGTCGTGTTTAGAATAGCTTGACAGCTAACTGTATTCTGACGTAGTTGATCTCGCGCGCTGGTGCCGCGAAACACGTAAATTTCTGCCAAGTTCACAACTGCGACCGAATAGAAAATGAACCCCAGCGCTCCTAGTTACCCCATGGCATCGCTGTATGTTGGGGACCTGCACCAGGACGTGACTGAAGCCATGCTCTACGAGAAGTTTAGCCCGGCCGGTGCCATCCTCTCCATCCGCGTGTGCAGGGACATGATCACCCGCAGGTCGCTCGGCTATGCCTATGTCAACTTTCAGCAGCCTGCAGACGGTGAGTGTGGTGCAAAAAATGCCTTTTACGCGAATGACACATTGAAAAATAAATGCAGGGTTTCATCAATGTAATGCGTATTCATTGAGAATCTTAGTAGTGACCATATGTTATGAAATCTATGTGTTCGGTTGATTATAAAGGGTTAAAGTCAAGATGAGGGATGCATGCATGCACACACCGCGTGATGATGCTTGACAGCAGTGACTTGCATGATTGTCATATTTAGGGCGTGGGTGGGGGAGAGGGTGCAGCAGAGATAAAGTGTATAAGTGTATCGAACACATTGAATATGGCCTATTTGTTCAAAAGTACAAAATTTAATGTGGTTATCAGGGCAATTTCAAAACTTCAAAATGTAGGGACTAAGCAATGTCCATGTAATGTATTTTTCACTTTTATTCTAGGTCGAATTGTTCAGAATCAGATTGATATTTTTATTTTAATTGTGTGTGCGTTTTACAGTTTTAAATTGAAGTTTTATTTGAGACAAAATATGCCCTCGTTTTTAGTCAGTTTCGATAACTATTGTAAATCTAAGGCAAAACACCGCAGGTGAAAATTAACTAGTAGATTTGACCAAAGTACTTTGTGATGGTTTTATTTCACCTTCACATTTCCAGAACAGGAAGCAGAATATTGGATAAAGCCAGTTCAACATTTTTCATTTTGTTGCTGTTGGAGTGTGAGGTTTTTTACAGAAGGGATTTGGATTTCTATTTTATCACCCCATAAATCAGAATTAAAAAAATATATAAATATGTCTTATTAATGAAATTTCATAGAAGTCAGGCAAATTATATATGATAACACCCCTTTGTAAAAACTTTCAGAATATAAATATAAGAATATAAACAAGGGGATGCATCATTAGAGAAAAAAAATTACAGCTGAGTTGATCAAAAAGTAGCGAGGGCTTGGAGCCAGAAAGTGGCTTTTAACAAACTTTACAGGAGAGACAAAACAAAATTTTGACCACGCTTCAATCACCTGTATTATTAACAAACATTGCAACCACAGGCATACTTACATGAAATGAGTATTTAAGTAAAAAATGTATGGCATATTAACACAATGAATATGTTCTAAAACATTAAAAAAAAAAATCAAATACGTCAGATATGCCTTTTTGTTGCTTTATACAGTACAGTTTGATCTCAGATAGGTATTTTTGGCACCATTGGATTGCTCATCGAGACCTTTATTTTGATATAAAGAACTCATATTCGCCCAAAATGCCACTCACGCCCCTCTTGCTCCAAGCCCTCGTATTAGACAGGTCAGTAATATGGGATTTTCTTTGGATTATCTTTGCATTATCATGATATTTTCTAAACATTAGGTTTCCCCCACCATACGGATGAAGTTTAAAGCATTAACCAACTCTTTTATTACCACATTCAATAGGTTGGCTTGGCTGTCACACGATGAACGAATGACTCAAAAACCCAAAGGTGAACTGATCATTTCTGTTTCCAGTACAAACTGCATTGCCTTACCCAATGGGGCTATCATATGATGAACGAACGACTGGCACCCGAACATTGAACTAGTCATGCCGGTTTTCTGTACAGACAGAGCCCATAGGATTTTGCGCATGCATGCTCTCTCTGTGAGAACTGGTTATTCCCGAGTCATATTAAAGATTCATGATGGAAATGCTACTGAAGGAGTGATTTCTGGCTGAGTGCTGGAGGAGAAATTCATTTTGATTTAGTGGATCGATAATTGTTTTCACTTGCAGCTGAACGGGCTTTAGACACAATGAACTTTGACGTCATCAAGGGTAGACCTGTCCGCATCATGTGGTCTCAGCGGGACCCCTCTCTGAGGAAAAGCGGCGTTGGAAACATCTTTATTAAAAACTTGGATAAGTCTATTGATAACAAAGCCCTTTATGACACCTTCTCTGCGTTTGGCAACATCCTGTCGTGCAAGGTAAGACACATGCATGCTCTTGAAAGTGCTTTTTTGCAGTGATTTGAGTATGTTATTTTTTTATGCTTGTGCTTCTGTTGGTCAGTGGGGGCATGTTTTTATGCCTGATATCCTTTCTTAAGGTGGTTTGTGATGAGAATGGCTCAAAGGGCTACGGCTTTGTACACTTTGAGACCCAGGAGGCTGCCGAAAGAGCCATTGAGAAAATGAACGGCATGTTGCTGAATGACAGAAAAGTGTAAGTGAGATTTTGGTGTTTTCCCAAACTTAAGCATTAGGGTGAAGGAAAATTGCTAAAGGAACGTGCCAACTAACGTCGAAAGTGACTTGATTTGGATTTGAAGTGTGTGTGGAAGGATTGGACCATTTTTACAATATATTTTTTGCCAATATAAAATATGGAAATAAGTACTGAGTAATATTATTTATCTACATGTACTTACTATAGAGTTGCGGTTAGGGTTTGGTTTAGTTATTACAGTTATTACTATATAAGTACATGTAGTAACATGTAAGTACAGTACATCAAAAAAAGTGTTACCTAAAATATTATTTGCTGGTGAAAAAAAATTAAGCAACATTCTGAAAATGTAAATTTTAAATGATATTTTATATTTCCTATTAATTTGCAAAATTGCTTTATAGTATTGGTGCATTATCACAGACAAAATCTGGCTGCATCCGAATATGCATTTAACCCTTTTGGCGCCAGAGTTTTTTTTTTAATCTTAATTTCAAAAGTCGATATCTTAAAAGTGATAAAAGATAGAGACTTTCTGTAAATTAGAGAAATATTAAGGATGATCCAAAGTTTATGTTGGGATTACATTTGCATAGTATGGCGTCATATGGAGGCGGCAATCTTGGATTATCGAATTTTCATGAAAAGACATGTTTAAATGATAAAATGCAGCAATTCTTTCCCCCAAAATGTCCATCACCTTCTGTAATGCTATATTGCACAATACTGAATGCTCAGGTATATAATAAGTAGTAAACAAACTGTGTAAATCATTACTAATAAATGGTAGAAACTAACCGAATGCATGTAGTGGTTGGCCTTATGCTGTAGAGATTTTCCATTTACTAAATACAGTAGGCACTGTGATTCCATGTATGGGGCACATATATATATTATTCATATGACATACCAAACGTGGTTGTTTTTCCACTAAGAAACGAACTTTGTTATTATGTTTTGATTGATACTGTTAATCTATATTATGAAAAGAGCTATATAAATATACTTGACTTGACATACAAACACAAGTAGACAAGACCTGTTTGGTTTAAAAGCTCAAGATCATTGTCATTGCAATTCTTAATGTCTAGTGACATATCAGGGCCATTTTATGATTATTTGAAATAAATTTCTTACTTACAGCCCCTTTAATAATAACTGTTCTTCATTTTGTCTTTGTTTTTGGCTTGCTGTCCCAAAGCTAACTAATCAGACCTCAAGGTACCACCCATAATACCAGAACCAGTCACATGTTAATTTTCACGATGGTCACTTTCGAGTACTTGAGTACTAGTGCCCACCCCTAATGACGAAGATATACACCGGCATAACATTATGACCACTGACAGATGAAGTGAATGATTATCTCTTCATCACGACACTTATATAAGGCAGAAAGTGAGCATTTTTTGTCCTAAAAGTTGATGTGTTGGAAGCAGGAAAAAATGGGCAAGCGTAAGGATTTGAGCGAGTTTGACAAAGGCCAAATTAGGACTGGGTCAGAACATCTCCAAAACTGTAGCTGCAGACAAGTGTGCATTGGTCAGTATCCATCAAAAGTGGTCAAAGAAAGGAACAGTGATGAATCGGCGACAGGGTCATGAGCCAAGGCGCATTGATGCACGTGGGGAGCGAAGGCTGGCCCGTGAGGTCCGATCCAACACACAAGCTATTATAAATTGCTCACAAAGTTAATGCTGGTTCTGATAGAAAGGGTGTGAGAATACACAGTGCATCGCAGTTTGTTGCATATGGGGCTGGATGGCCGCAGACCAGACCATGCTGACCCCTGTCCACCACCTAAAGCGCCAACCATCAGAACTGGACGAAGGAGGCCTGATCTGATGAATCACATGAATGCGTCACTTACCTGGGGAACACATGGTACCAGTGATGCTTTGGGCAATGTTCTTCTGGGAAACCGTAGGTCTGGCCATCCATGTGGATGTTACCTTGACATGTACCACCAAGTCCGATCCATGGAGGCCCCACCTTGCAACTTAACGGACTTAAAGGATCTGCTGCTTTTTACATCTTGGTGCCAGACACCACAGTACATCTTCAGGGATCTAGTGGAGTCCAGAGGGCTGTTTTGAGGGACCAACACAACATTAGCCCTCTATTGCATGAAATATTAATTAGGCATGGTAAAAAATGTTTTGCATGTTTTTATTACTTAAAATGAGGTAAATAACAGATATATAATTTTTTTTTTTAAAGTTTAAAGGGGGGTCGTTGGTAAATTGTTGCCATATGGCAACAATATGCATCCTTGGAAAGTACCATAAAATCCACTTTTCTTTTCCAAAAAACTCATTTTGTTGAACAATACTGATAACGACGGAACTTGCGACCATAGTTGGCTAATGGCTTTCAGGAAACGCACCCCTGGCCTGTCGAGGTTCCAAGCGAACTGTACCGGTACTGAAATGTGACATGAAACACTGCAGATCACTGACTGGTCAGACAGAATCGTCACTACCAGCGGATTTTGAAGTCCAACAGTGGGAGATAGGCATTCTCTGGCATCTGGGACTGGGTCTTTTCTGTAAAGCTGCCATGCATTTACCATGTCAATCATGTGGAATACAATGCAGTGGTACCATTTATTCATTTCATAATAATGTGTTTATCTTTAAAACATAAGAAAAATTTGTAAACATAGTCTCAGAGTAAATTCATGCTATGTAAGTCAATGGGACTCCATAGGGTTGAATGCACCAGGACGTTTCCATATTTGCATGTAGTTGCCATATGGCAACAAATGTATTTTAGCATACATCAAAAAAATAAAAATAAAATCAAGACTGAATTTAATGTTAAAAAATTAAAGTTGACTTACCCCAGATAGTGATTTAATTTTTTTTATTTGATGAAAACTTTCCAAAATTCAGAATAAAATGCTATTTTGGGGAGCCCCAGACAGTGATGTTTCCATGTCAATATCCATTAACAAAAAGGACTGGCAAACAGGATATCCTGGTCATACGACCTCCTAAATTGTATTTTCTTCAACTAACAACTGTAGAAACATAGATTTTATATCACAGCTTTTTAGAAAATTAAGATAAAGTATGGCAACACTATACAATAAAGGGTTAGGAAAGTGGTCATAATGTTATGCCTGATCGTTGTATATTTTGCATTGTTGAAAAGGATGCTAAATGTGTAGATGAAGTTTAAGTTCCATTTCTCTCACTGTTGAGATTAACTACAACCTCGTATTGATCGCTGCTCTTTGCCTTCAGGTTTGTAGGGCGCTTCAAATCTCGCAAGGAGAGGGAGGCTGAGCTCGGTGCAAGAGCCAAAGAATTTACCAATGTGTACATTAAAAATTTTGGGGAAGATATGGATGATGACAAGCTCAAGGACGTCTTCAGCAAATATGGTAATTTTTAAAAAAAAAAATTTTCTCTCTTGGTTTGGATACATTTCCAAATCATTTTTTTTTCTGATTTGCTAAGGTAATTCTATGAGCATCCGTGTCATGACTGATGAAAATGGGAAGTCCAGAGGCTTTGGATTTGTGAGTTTTGAGAGACACGAGGATGCGCAGAGGGTCAGTTCAGCTTTAAATGTGGACTCAAACTCATGTACTTGACTTTCTGGAGTACCAAAAAACATTTTTGATCTCTTGGAACAGGCTGTGGATGAGATGAATGGCAAAGAACTGAATGGGAAGCTTATCTATGTGGGTCGTGCTCAGAAAAAAGTGGAGCGCCAAACTGAGCTCAAGCGCAAATTTGAGCAGATGAAGCAAGACCGGATGACTCGGTACCAGGTCAGTAATTGAACGGACTTCTGCAGCCTTGTCAAATTCAGTGTTTCCTTTGCTTTTCAGTGGACCGCACTGGCCAAAATTGCCGCAACAGTGACTTTTTAGTCCATGGGCCCCATGTTCTTTTATAGTGGAGACTGGGGACATAACTAACTATGTACAATAGTATCTTATTCATGGACCTAAATTAGGCTATGTGACTGCATTTGGTTCTTAAAGGGTTAGTTCACCCAAAAATGAAATTTCTGTCAGTATTTACTCACCCTCATGTTGTTCCAAACCTCTATGTGTTTATTTGCTCTGCTGAACACAAAGGAAGATATTTGGAAGAATGTTTTAATCAAACAGATCTCAATCCCCATTGACTTCCATAGTAGGAAAAAAAAATACATACTATGGTAGTCAATGGGGAATGAGATCTGTTTGATTAAAACATTCTTCCAAATATCTTCCTTTGTGTTCAGCAGAACAAATAAACACATAGAGGTTTGGAACAACATGAGGGTGAGTAAATACTGACAGAATTTTCATTTTTGGGTGAACTAACCCTTTATTTGTATTTACAGGGTTCATACAGAGTTTAGAAATTTTGGAAAATGCTTAATTTTTAACAGTTATGTTTTAAGGTTTGAAATGTGTTGGGCATCCTTGAAAATGTGAGATGTGTTTTTCTTAGAATGTCTCTAAAAATAGAAAAATAACCTTTAGGAAATTGAAGAATGTCTCCAAAAAAGAAAAACAAAACCTTTAAGAAAGAGTCATGACTCATTTGTCCATTGAATTGTCACTTAAACACATTGGAAGAAATACACGTGATAGATTGGTACCTGAAAATTGCATTCACATCTTCATAAATGTTTCAAAGCAAGTCCGAGTTCTTCATGAGATCATATAAATGACAGCTAAAAGAGATGTATGAGATGTCTGTGTCTGCATAATGCTGCTAATCAGTTTACACCAGGTTCTCACTGCAGAACATGAAATCCATGGGGAGGAGTCGGATCCAGATCCGACTCCGCCCCCTAATCCCTAAACCCAACCCTAATCCTACTCATCATCTCCACCCCTTGGATCGTGAGCCGACTCCTCCCCGTGGATCTCGTGTACTGCATTGAGGTGCTACTGGCCTCCCAAGGTACCCTGAAACATAGTTTTTATTAATAGGCTATTTGAAATGATTCCTACTAGTCTTATTATTAGGGCTGTGGATATTCACTGGTCTCACAATTCAATGTGATTACAATTATTATGTCTTTGATTCGATATCATGATGCGTTGCATCCTTAATATTTTATATTATTGTACATGGCTTCATTTTCGTCAATGAATACAAGCAGTTAGAATAGATACATGAACTCCCTTTTTGTTTTATCTGCTCCAAGAAAGTACACTTCCTGAATGTAGCAAACCAAAATAAAACAAACGTGAGGTAAGTGAAGATTCACTCGTCTAGAAATGAGTGTTAACTTTCTTCTCCTACGTTCTTTTGTTTTGGCAGCGCAGCTGAAAGCTTCATTCATGTTGTGGGTTAGGGTTAGGGTTAGAAAAAACAATTTTTTTTCATATTTGTTTGCATATTTGTTAGTTTTGGAAAGGGAAAGTCGTTGGAAATGCTTTTCCTATTTCTGTTGGATCAAATGGAAATTTGGCTATAGTCTCTGTAGCAGTTAATCCTACTGAAATTGGGTTCTGTTTTGCAAATAGGCTTATGTACATTTTTATTCACTGAACTCTTGAAAAGTACTTGAATTTCACTCTTAAAAATCTGTACGAACCTTGTAATAGTTTATTAAATCTAGTGCATTGTAAGTGCCCTCTCAGATGCAGTTCTCCATCGTCATTTGCTCTCTTTCCAGGGTGTCAATCTCTATGTTAAGAACTTGGATGATGGTATTGATGATGAGCGTCTTCGTAAAGAGTTTGCTCCCTTTGGAACAATCACCAGTGCCAAGGTATGATCACTGCCCATCACTGTCTTGGTTATTTATATACTCGTGAACATGAGATATTGTTCAAATGTGTTTCATTCTGAAAAAGTTACATTACTTAAATAAAATAGGTTGTAAATGCCATTTAATGTGTTGTGTTGAGCAAAAATTGAAGTCTTCTCCCTCTTCTGTCGCAGGTCATGATGGATGGTGGGCGCAGTAAAGGCTTTGGTTTTGTCTGTTTCTCTTCCCCTGAGGAAGCCACTAAAGCAGTGACTGAGATGAATGGCCGTATTGTGGCCACTAAGCCCCTGTATGTGGCTCTTGCTCAGCGCAAAGAGGAACGGCAGGCCCATCTCACCAACCAGTACATGCAGAGGATGGCCAGCGTCCGTGCAGTGCCAAACCCAGTTATCAACCCCTACCAACCCGCACCTCCGTCAGGATACTTCATGGCTGCCATCCCGCAGGTAAGCACAGTCACTTGGTTGGTTGTCACGTTGCTTAGATTAGCGTTACTGCTTATTTCTACTCCATTCATAATTTTCTCGCATCACAGGCCCAGAACAGAGCTGCATATTACCCTACCAGTCAGCTCGCGCAGCTCAGACCTAGTCCCCGCTGGGCCACTCAGGGTGTACGTCCTCAGCGTAAGTTGGCTTTTTATCCCAGAATCCTGTAATAAATAAATCAGATGTCACTGATCCATGAAATCTTGATTTATACTAACTAGAGCCCGACCGATAAAGGATTTTGAAGGCCGATACAAATATTTTTTGGTTTTAAAATCCGATATTCCGATTTTTATTTATTTTTATTTATTTTTTTCAGAAACCCGCAACAGATTTCTCTAACATTAGTTACTTATTTGTAGTTATTATGAGTTTTAACTAAAATAATATGATAATGCATTTTAAAAAGAAACTTTTCAGAACAGACTGATGATAGTGGCATTAGCTAGCTTTATGGTTAGCTAGTCTATAATTTAGCAATGGATAACGTCATACTGCAAATTGTAAAACATACATTTTCAATATAACAGGCCAAGGAGAGATAATGCGTCTCATTTCTATAACTGTCACACACTATTAAAGAAATACTTCAGTCACATTGTCAAAAGTTAAAAGGACAGTCAGTCGACTACACTGTAACACCGTAACGTAACTATTACTAGCTAATTCCGCTTCACTCTCGGCTTATTTAACAGCAGCAAAACTGGGCATGATAGTCACAAATTTTGTCATGCTTATTTGAGTTAAGAGAACTGATGGGGATGTTCTTTTAATTGATATTCAAGCAATGTATATATCGTGACCAACTCAACGAGTGTTGCCAACAGGAACGGTGTAGAGTGCCCTCTGGTGGACAAACTATACAACTCCAACACTCATGACATGGTTGAAGAGTGTTTCGTCCGTTTTTATTTTATTTTTGAAATATTCATTTATCGGCCATTATAACTGGCGATACCGATAGTTTGGAAAATGCCTAATATCGGCCGATAATATCGGCCTGGCTCTAATACTAACAGACATTCATTATTTTCTTACAGACTTCCAAAACATGCCAGGCACAATGCGCCCATCTGCCCCCAGACCTCAGACTTTCAGCACCATGCGTCCTGCATCACAAGTGCCCCGCATGATGTCCACTCAGCGTGTTGGTGAGTCTAAAAGAATGTTAAAAACATTTTCCACTCGATATTTTCGTCTTCGTCTCTTCAGCAATTCGGATTTTGGCACTCTGCATCAGCTGACTACTAAGGAGCGATGCTGAGAACAGACTTGTACACTATGTCACATCACAGAATGCACAGTGATTCTGTGAAATGTACTCAGCGCTTTTCACATATCACAATTAGTGTTTTCAACCACATCATTTTAGGTTTCAGAGATTTAAACATATATAAGTACTACCAAAACAATAGATTTATTATTTGTGTCTATGGAAGCAGCAAGAACAATCCATTAATAATGGATTCAATCAAAAAGTTAAATCAACACGCAACGCAAGGATATAAAGAGGATATAAAGAAATAAGGACATTTAATTCGACCGAACTACACGCAAGTGCTGAATTACTCACACAGGTCAGTTTATTAGAGGAATTAAACCTTGAGGTAACGCAGCGCTGCTTCACAAACGGCATTTGAGTGTGTTGAATGTTGTTAGTTAGGTTGTTTGTTGGCTGAATGAGACTTAACATTAGAGAATAACATACAGATCATATTCTAACTTTTCATCATGTTGAACGATAACATTTATTAGTTTTATATACATTGGTTTGCTCAAGTAACCTGCAACACTCGCGTTTCTAAGTCGAAGTTAGTCGCGGATGTGGTGCTCTCGGCATCTGGAAAGATGTTGATCTTTGTTTTAGTCCTCTTTTTGTCTCAAAGTCTGCTTGCCATGGTCCAAAATGTTTGAGCAAATCCTTGCTAGGGACGCTCACGCTGTTGAGCACGCATAATGGGCGTAACCGACCCAGTTGTCCACGTCTGTCGCCATGGTTACCATTACAGTACGAGGTCAAACCTGGCGGAAACTGGGCGTAACGCGGATATGACGTCATTGACTGGCGACTCCTCACCCCTGCTCACACGTCCCGTTTCCTTGGTTAAAATCGCAATTTTCTCACGATTTACAAATAGTTGGAAACATTTGGGATATATTAAGTAATCAACTAAACTAAATATGTAACATTGGCCTAGTGGTTTTTGGATATTTTACTGCAAAACTCCTGCATATTGTATTGAGATTAAATCCAATTAATTTCACTTCTCTCTCAGCCGCTCAGACTATGGGTCCACGGCCCTCCATTGCGGCGGCTGCAGCCTCTGCCCCTCCAGTTCGCGGCGTGCCTCAGTACAAATACGCACCCAGCGTCCGCAACCCTCAGCACATGAACACACAGCCTCAGGTCACTATGCAGCAGGTAAGACTTAAAGGGTTAGTTCACCCAAAAATGAAAATTCTGTCAGTATTTACTCACCCTCATGTTGTTTCAACCCCGTAAGACCTTCGTTCATCTTCGGAACACAAATTAAGATATTTAAGATTAAGATCGCTCCTGCATACAGTCCATAGGCTTCTTGAGGTACTGGCTCTTGCTGTCCTCGAAAAGTCATTAAAGACATCGTTAAAATAGTCCAAGTGACTACAGGGGCTCAATCTTAAGTTTATCAAACGACGAGAACACTTTTGTGCGCAAAAAAACAACAAAAATAACGACTTTATTTCAACTATTCGTTTATTTCTCCCTCTGCGCGAGTCAGGATACTAGTTTAATAGCGTAAGCTTCTATTATTGTACGTCACACGCATCACACACACATGACCAGCGTCGGCCAATAGTGAGCCTACGTGTGACGTAGCTCTACGCAATCACACTACGTTAACTGACTTACAGGCTCATGGAGAAGGAAGTGATAGTTGAAATAAAGTCGTTATTTTTGTTGTTTTTTTGCGCACAAAAGTGTTCTCGTCGTTTGATAAACTTAAGATTGAGCCACTGTAGTCACTTGGACTATTTTAACGATGTCTTTAATGACTTTTCGGGGACAGCAAGAGCCAGTACCTCAAGAAGCCTATGGACTGTATGCAGGAGCGATCTTAATATCTTAAATATCTTAATTTGTGTTCCGAAGATGAACGAAGGTCTTACGGGGTTGAAACAACATGAGGGTGAGTAAATACTGACAGAATTTTCATTTTTGGGTGAACTAACCCTTTAAGGCAACATGTGAAAGATGTGATTTGTGAGTTTACTCTTCTGATTGACTCTCTCCGTTAGCCTGCTGTGCATGTGCAAGGACAGGAACCCCTGACGGCCTCCATGCTCGCCGCTGCTCCTCCACAGGAACAGAAGCAGATGCTGGGTAAAGATCGTGGAGTTGTCTGATTGTTTGTTCCTCTCACCACACTATAAAAGGAGGTTAATACTTAATTTCCCTCTCGCAGGTGAGCGTCTCTTCCCACTTATCCAGAATATGCACCCCAGCCTGGCTGGCAAGATCACCGGTATGCTGCTGGAAATCGACAACTCTGAGCTTCTCCACATGCTGGAGTCTCCGGAGTCTCTGCGCTCCAAGGTTGGAGGGTTTCTTAATTGTTTATTTTAGTATGGAAACTGAAGTGTTTGAAAAGCATAAATGTTCGGTCTGACAGGTTGACGAGGCAGTGGCCGTACTTCAGGCTCACCAGGCTAAAGAAGCCGCTCAAAAAACCGTGACCAACTCTACTGGCGTGCCAAGCGTTTAAGCCAAGGTAACGTTCCTTTTGTTATTGTCTGTAGGGCTGGGTAATAAATATAGATTTTTCGATATTAATCGATTGTCATTTTTACGAACCGATATCGATTCTTAAATCTGACTAAAGAATCGATTAGTCATCCTGTTTCATTTGAATGAATGGGACATTGTATCGCGGCTGCGCGCATCCAAAAAATCGCAATAATCTTTGTCCTTTGTTACTATTGATATGAAACAAAGTGTCAATTTTCAAATTACGTCCATTTTCTTTAGAAATTCAAAAACATAAATAACGTTTTGTCACTGTGGCGTGAGATCGCTCTGGAGAAGCAGCAGCGCTGATCTCTCTTCCGGCTTAATAATACCAGTCACAGCGCCAAATAAACATGAATGAGCATCTGAAAGTGGGTTAAAGATAGAGTACAACTTATCGAAATCCGTATCATGTCACATTGATTCGCTCAATCAGCGTTTCAACCGTGGAAAGACGTGCTTGTAATCAATGTCATGTATCGTCATATTTACCTCAGAAAACCCACATAAACTCGTTAGTCAGCTAGATAGAGCATTTTGCTAAATATATACACCATATTACATATGCATTATAATCTTAATGTTCTTCAATATTTAATGCATATTTGAATAAATCTGGAAAGTTTTTATGACAGCCACCATTTAAATGTTTATATTTCATGTAATCTTTTTATTATAAAACTTAATAAAAGTGTAATTTAAGTGTTTGTATAGCTACAAAACAGTTCATTATTACCTCCATATTAGGCTAATGAAGCCTATAGGCTACAACTAGACTCCCATAGTTTACAGCATTAGTTAAGCGATTTGATTCCCTTGAGAAAAATTGCCATTTATTGTAACTGATAAAATCCAAAATAATCAATATTGAATCGAATCGAATTGCAAGCTTGTGAATCGAAATCGAATCGAATTGTAAAATTTGTCTCAATACCCAGCCCTACTTGTCTGTGTTTTTCTCCACTCACATCAAACGTTCAGTCCGTTGGAGATAGGAGGGTCATGATGTCTGTGTTTTACAGGGGTGTGCCACCTTGAATCTTCACAAACATCGGAAAAGAACCTAAAACACAGAAAATATCGCAAAACATCTAAAACCATATTTAAAAAAGAAACTAGAAAGAGCCAGGTCTAGAGAGAAGCATTCTGGGCCTAGTTAAGGTATTTAAAAAATGAATAAAAAAGGAAAAACAGATCAAAAATTATGTTGGGGGTTTAAAAAAAAAAAAATCCACAGTTTAGGGAGTAAACAGCCGTAAAGCATTCCTGCCTTGTTTTATTTCTTTAAAAGCCTGGCTATGTCATGTTCTTAGTAGGGAGGTGAGAACGGGCAGAACCAGCCATGTGATGTTATGTTAAATTGACAATATGCTTGCTCAAATAAAGTTCGTTAAAATGTGTGTGTTTTCATTTGTCCACGAAATATTTGGGACGCCAAAACCTTGTTTTGCGAAGCGGAGTGCCTGCAACCCCTTCAGCCGTTACTTATTCACGATACAGCACTTGCCTCGAGTACCTTATTGCTTTTATAAAACGGTTGCCACACAATATTAAAGTAAAAAACAATGTATTAGTGCAACTTTCTTGAAGTAAAATCACTAAAAGCCTTCCTTCCGCTAGAAAAAATAGTCCCTGAGCGTGGACAGCAACAACGCTCCAGTGTGTAAAATGCATGCAAGCTCAAATAAAAACAACATAGAACCGCAGTGTTGGTGAAGCGGTCATTATCGTGAACAAAGCACAGCTCTTGACCAATCAGAATCAAGGATTCAAACTAACCGTTTTATAAACATTTTCAATGGAGGCACATCTCACGTCTGGTGATGTTTACGCTTTTGCAAAAGTGTCGTATGAGAATGCGTTAATGCGATATGCAACTTCAGTCGTTTGTTACTTGGACTGGGCAAATGTCTATTGTCCATCTATGTATGAACTGATTGTTTGTTCTTTACTGTTATTGTGAAGTATCCTGAGCTTGGGAAAGGCGCTATAATATATACAGAAAACATTATTATTATTATACTGGCTCAAGGCAAAAGAGTGATGAATGATAATTGGTTTGACATGGCTCAGCACTTCTCAAGTGTTTTTGATGTTTATTGAAATCCTTAAAGGGATAGTTCACTTTGAAATGAATTTTTGATATGTTTTATCTTTCCTCAAGGGCATCCAAGATGTAGGTGTCTTTGTTTTCACAGTATTTTCAATCTTGACATTTTTCAGTCAAACCGTTGTTGTCTATCACTCATACACTGGAGGCTAAGGGGCATGCACAGAGAAGTCCAAATTAAACATGATTTAATGACTCGTAAATGTAAGTACACATTGATGGCCTAAGACACTAAACGAGCGGTTTTTGTGAGAAAACGAGTATTTATATCTTTTTTTAGCTTGTGTAATCACAGTGACGTCCAAGTGATCTGAATCAGTTGTGCAATGGTTTGTCTCCATAAGGCTGAGACCAAATGCGCATGTCTGTATTACCTGGCCGCAACTGCTTGCTCACGCTTGAGTGCTTGAACCCTTAACAACTCTCCTAGGGCCAGTCATTACAATTACTCACTGATTTTCCCTTCCAACCAGGTGAACATAACATGTTGTCTCAACAGCTGTTCCATGAAATGCCTCGAGCATCAGAAATGTTCTTGGTGGTGTAAAGGTCATGGTTTTGTTTCACAGGAAACACTGAATGTAATGCACTTTTGATGAAAGTATTTTGCTAAATGAATGCCTACGGCCTGATTTTACATCTACACTGCAGTAGAAATGATGTAACTGTGCTAGAAAACCTACTGGCGCATAGGAGTGATGCTGAGCTTATATGAAAACAAGACTGTCCTCCTGTAAAGTTGAATTGATTTGCCTTAAGCTGAATGAATTCTGACTCGAAACACAGAAGCGTTCTTGAAAGGGAAGAGCATGATCTCCATTGACACCAGTTGCTATGCGCAGGGCAATGCTGTGAGATGGTCATGCGGTTTACCTTACACATGAATGAACATGCCCATTATGGCCCTGCTGTTACAGATATTCAGAGATCATTAAACAGAGTGTACAACCATAAGTAGCTGATTTAAGTTCCTTAACCGCACTTAAAAAAGAAATGTATAGGCTATATATATATATTTATATTTTATATATAGAGAGATATTTTCTTCACAAATATATTAATGAAAGCAAACAAATGTCATTCTTATTGTTTTTTAATTGTTAAAATATTTATAGATAAGATACATTGTATTATTTGTTTTCATTTTAGTTTATGATTAAAATACAACTAATTAAAAATGCTATTGTTTTTTGCTGTAAGTACTGAGAATATATGGCAATCATCACTGAAAACTAATAGATACACTGTAAAAAGTTCAGTTTACTTAATTTTATTAAGCAAACTCGTTGCCTTAATTTCATTAAGTAAGCATAACTTAATTGCATCAAATTTTTCTTACTTAATCTATTGAAGTTTTGTCAACTTAATTCTGTCTGTGATCTGAGGAAGTGTACTCCCAGAGCGGCATGAATAAATTAATTGCTTTGTTTTTCTATTTTTGCTTTTTTTTTTACCATTACAATTTTATTTGCTATCGTTAGGGGTTATACTTACAAGAGACCGCAAAAAAAAATGTAACGGTCAATTAATTAAATCATTAAAAAAATTGTTAATATTATCAATATATAATACTTTACTGTCACCTTTGATCATTTTAATGCATGAAATCAATAATCAAATCAATAATACAAAATTTCTTTAAAAAAATGTTTTATCTTGATCGAAACTTTTAATGATAGTGTACATCTTAAGCTTGATGATTCTTTAGTCTAGTCTGCAGGCGATGATAAGTCTTTGCTTGCCCACTGATACATAATATAACGCTATAATGCTTGACTTTTACAAGTTTGAGCACATGCAGGGTTCCTTACTGCAGTCCTTGAGGACAAATAACATACTTACATTAATTTTACCTCTAGATCGTGAGGTCATTAGTTAATTTTATTCATTACCTTTGTCAACCAACTCAGCAAAATAGGCAAGGAAACCTTTATACATAATAGAATCTTCCTTGTTTCTCTCTTCGACTGAATAAATTGAGTTGTGATTGATCTATGTAAATCATTTATCAATGATTCAGGTTTTTCCTGCATCTTGTTGTGTCCCAGATGGACTGGGGGAAGAAAACCCTGATTCAAGGACACACTCCACTGATAAAAACAATTCTGTGGTGAAGTAAATACTGCAGATAAATGTAATTTCTACCCGAATAAGTTAGTCCAGTTAGTTTATTAATAATAAAAAAAAAACACTCAATTTAAGCTTGTAGAAATTAAAGTGTAAATTATCAAGTATGAGGCTGCAGACCTGGAGCCGGTATATATATGAAGAGTTCAGATGCAAAAGCCTCTAAATGCCATTTGAAATTTTCTTCTAAAATGACCATTTTTATCAAGCTTGTATATTTAAGTTCAGTAATTTCACTTAAATGACAATTAATAGGTAATCTTCATTGCCATTTAAGTGAAATTACTGAACTTAAATACACAAGCTTGATAAAAATGGTCATTTTAGAAGAAAATTTCAAATGGCATTTAGAGGCTTTTGCATCTGAACTCTTCATATACGCTCATGGCAGTTTGAAGCCCCTGTTGTTCCTGATGCGTCCAGTAGGAGGATGCGTCCATCTGTCTTTATGAAGATGAAACTTGCCCAGAAGACAAATAATACTGTATAATCAAGATCAGCATCGTTAGAATGAAAATCTGACAAAAAAGCCTGTCTTTAGCTTGCGTTTGATTCTGGCAAGATCCTGTTTACTTCTTGCATTAAAACATAGCCTACTCCACATTCTGGGGCAACAGATATTGGAAATATGTGAACTTGTTTTTTTAGAGTTTGTGTGGTGTGAACACACAAAAGACACATTTATAATAGGCATGTATATTTGTATGTCAATCTCTCTCCATGTAAAGAGTTGAACCGCACACTCACTCAAATTTTTGTATTATTTCCAAGGCGAAAACACATTAAATCAGCATCCGTGTGCAATATGAGCCTTATTGTCCTTACTAGTGCCTGGATTCGTGTACACTATTCATGACCTAGGAAGACACTGATACGCACCCATTGTCTCCACACTGACTTAAACCTTGATGTTGTGGCCCATTTTTGGTTCCAGCTAGGTTGTATCTGTTTCTTTAGCAGCTATAGAAGAGATGCATATTGTGTAAACCCTGGTAAATGCTGTTTCCCCACTCTCTCTCACATTAGAATAAGAAAGGACTCTGCTACAGAACACATACATATGCACACAGGCTGTGATACATTGAACACTGAGATGCAAATGGCCCTGTGATTGTTTTGTAAGAGGCCATTGTTTGCATGGGTAACTGGGCGTGTGTGATGAGACATCTTCAGCACTCACAAGGCACATCACTACTTTATGTGTTTTCCTTTTGGAAAACATCACTGTTCTTGCTGATTTTGACTCTTTTATTTCGTCCCTTAGACTTATAAATAACAAGAAAAGTGAACAATTTTTTGATGTAATTAGATGATGTATTCAAAGACATGACTTGGCCTTAAATTATGCTTTTCTTTTTTTATGTATTACATAATTTGATGTATGCATACCCAGGAGGATGCTTATTTTCTGTTGGGTACTATTGTTTGTTTGTTTGTACACCTTGCCTTACTTCCTTGTGTTGGTATTTTTGTATAAGTTCTGCAATAAAAAAAAAAGAAAAAAAAGAAAACATCACTGTTATAGGCTACATAAAGATAGAAGATTTGCACATTTGTAGGGGACGTCACAAAAGCTTACTTTATTCATAAAACGATATAGAACCATGTGCCTTGTCATCCTGCAGGATCCAACAAAATGTAGTACTCTGATTAACTGTAAATGTGGAAAGTTTTGTGTTTAAACGCTCCATAATTAGAATCTGCTCCATATGGAAATAAGGTTTCGAGTGCTTTTGCCATCTAACTGTTTGACTTTTGACCACAATGATCCAAATTACCATTGTGTTACGAGTTTCCTGGCATGTAATATTATTGGACACATGAAACCATTTATTTGAAAATAGAAATAACTTACCCATACAAAAAAAAAGTAGGCTAATGGTCTGGTACAGTGATAACCTAGTAATACCATGGTACTTTAAATAGACTTTGTTATTTTAAAGCTTTATATTTAAATAGAAAGTGAACAAATGATATATAGTAGCCTAGATGCTATGGTCAAATATACGCCAATCTATTTCAGAGAATATCATGTATAAACAAAAATGTAAAACACCATCTAAGAATGTTTTTATAAACTTGATAATATATACTTTAAAACATTTACTTTATATTTTATTGATTCTTTCCTGGAATGAGCATACGGAGACTGTTGTTGCTCTGAGGACTACACATCGACCGACTCTCGCGAGATTTGAGTTTAAACTGATATGTGAGAAGAGAGCGAGACGGATGCCAGTGCCAGTGAGTCAGAGCGAGCGGAGGACGGGACACAGGACGGCCCGACTTTAGCCCCACAAAACAACTCCTTAACGTAGCCTTCTTCCTAAACCACACTCGGAGTTGATTGCCCTTGTTTGTTACTTGGAATGAAATGCTTTTACGTGGATGATTTGAAAGGTGAGTCGCCGTTGTATAGCAAGATATTAAAGGCTAGTTTGACGGGTGGGCTAACGGTCGTGTGTTCGCTTTCTCAGTTCTCGCTCTCGCTGGCGAATGTGAAAGCGAATATTTACACAAACATTATACGAAGACGATTCTCACATTTGTACTATTACAACAAATAACCGCCTATTTAATGTTGTAACCGCCTATTTAATGTTGTAACCTGGTGTACAGGGAAGTAAAATCGCTTTAAAGGGCCTGTGGTGGGTCCGACATTAGATGGACCTACCGTAGGCACGTTAACTTAGCCAGCTTTCGCATTGTCATTTGTTTCTGTTTGTTCAGTTTAAATTCACACCTGTGTAACCAGGAAGTCTGCAAATAAAACATTTACCTAGCGTTATCGCTGCGGTTAAATGTCACCAAACCTTTGATCTGCATTATACACAGAGATTGTTTTTAGACTCATTGTTAATGGCTTAGCGTTAGTGGTTCATTTTGCAATATTTATGGCAAGTTACACCACATTGTAACTTAGTTTTTTGCTCAGTGTATTTAGACTTAGTTACATATTGTACGTTGGACTTTTTCAAAAATGTATGTACACGAACTAATACACTTCTGTAGAAATCGAGTGTGTTTTGCTGGAAACGAGAATTCAGATATGTTGATAAATCATCCAGTGTGTGTGTGTGTGTGTGTGTTCAAAGGCTGATTTAGTGTAAGGGTTATTCCCCAATGGAGTTTCTTGTAGTAATAGTGATAATAAGCTAATTTAGTTTCTTGGATCATAGCTGTAGGATTCCCGCAAGTGTTTTAGCTAAAACTAGTGTTGTCTCTGAACTATGGAAACTGGTGGTCGAGAGGTGTTGACCTATGACGTATTATTCTAGGTCAGTGTTAGAGGTGTCAGATAAAGAAATGTGTTGTTTGTGGCCTTGTGTGTGAACATTCTGTCGTGTCACAAACCCCCCAAAATGAAGCTTTCAAGGAGTTTGGTCTATTTTTTTTTAATCATTTTTGCTGTGGGGAAATGACATTGGCATTGCATTGCATGCGCTACTGTTTGAGCTACGACCAATGAATGATTTTGAAGGCTGATACGATACAAATATTTGTTGGCTTTAAAATCCGATATATCGGCCGATATATTTTTTTTTTTCAGGAACACGCAACAAAACATTACCAGATTTCCCTAACATTAGTTATTTGTAGTTATTTATGAGTTTTAACTAAAATAATATGATAATGCATTTTAAAAAGAAACTTTTCAGAACAGACTGATGATAGTGGCATTAGCTAGCTTTGTGGTTAGCTAGTCTATAATTTAGCAATGGATAACGTCATACTGCAAATTGTAAAACATACATTTTCAATATAACAGGCCAAGGAGAGATGATGCGTCTCATTTCTATAACTGTCACGCGCTATTAAAGAAATACTTCAGTCACATTGTCAAAAGTTAAAAGGACAGTCAGTCGACTACACTGTAACAACGTAACGTTACTATTACTAGCTAATTCCGCTTCACTCTCGGCTTATTTAACAGCAGCAAAACTGGACATGATAGTCATAAATTTTGTCATGCTTATTTGAGTTAAGAGAACTGATGGGGATGTTCTTTTAATTGTTATTTAAGCGATGTATATATCGTGACCAACTCAACGAGTGTTGCCAACAGGGACGGTGTAGAGTGCCCTCTGGTGGACAAACTATACAACTCCAACTCTCATGACATGGTTGAAGAGTGTTTCGTCCGTTTTTATTTTATTTTTGAAATATTGATTTATCGGCCATTATAACTGCTGATACCAATAGTTTGGAAAATGCCTAATATCGGCCGATAATATTGGCCTGCCGATAAATCGGTCTGGCTGTAGAAACCTTTGATACTCTTCACAGCGCTTGTCTAAACACTTGCATGAGTATTTTAAAGCAGCCTGCTATCAGCAGGTACTGATACTGCAGTATCTACACATTCAATTATCAAGTAAATCTTTGGCTGGACAAAATTTAATTTTTGGTGGCTGCCAAAATATTTTCAATACAGGTAAAACCCTAATTATGCCTATGAGTGTTATGCAAAGCAGTCTTTTATTTAGAATCAGGATTCAGATGTCCTGAAAGATCTAGATTTCACTCTGCCACAAGTTTATTAGACCAGTTTTGGCTAGTTGGAAAACCACAAATGAGCAGAGGAACTGCTTGAGAAGGTTATGATGAAGTACTTTAGGAGAAAACCAGTCTAAGGTTGTGTTCCGTGTGTGTTTATCTTGTTTACGAATTCCCCATGGTCTTGTTTTTGACCTTAATCAAAGTCTTGGGCTTGTTTCTCTCTGCGTAGTGGGAGAACAATGGGCGCTTTATGCATGAGCTGGAAGTGCCATGCAGTCAGGTGGCTTACTAAACACATACCAAACTGAGCTAATAAGAGTTTGTGTATGTTGAAGGCCAGGCATGCCTCAAAATGGCAATGGATGTTGTTGTAGTACCATGGCCAATGTTAAACAGGGTTAAAATGTGACAACTTATTTCCTGCAAGAATTAATGTATTACAGTCTTTGCTGTAGAGACAAATGTTTTTGCCTGCCTCAGTGCCTCAGGTACGAGTGTTTAAGGATTGGTTCTCATTTTGTAATGTAGTTAATGAATTCTTTGTGTGCAGTCAGGGCCTCATAGTGACCACAGCGTTTCACTCATAAGGGCCCACAATGCAATGGTTTCAAAGACCTCACTGGCAGTGATCCGTAATGATCTAATGACTGGTTACTTTTTTCTGAATTATGATGTACTTTCAAGCTGCGGATTCAATGTACCAGCATTCCAAATGAAAGTGTTGTTCACTATAAGGATGATTAACAGCTTCTATTAGTTTTAATAATTGTTTTAAATCCACTATAACAACACTGAGGAACGATATTGTTGGATTGAATTTCAGAAAGTTTTTTTTTCTAGCTGATGAACGATAACATTGAAAGCCAATCTGAATCCAACCAAATTTAAAGAGCTCAAGTTTAAATTTGTATTTGCGAAAACTGCAGAGCACGCTAGTGTTGCACGGTGCACCGATACTTCAAATGTATCGCGATACTTGGAAATTAAAAACCTCACAATACCTTTATTTATTAGTATCGATACTTTTATGAATGACCCCGTTCATGTAGGGCCCTATGATTTCCGCTTTATTTCGCTGGTCTGGACTGCATGTTTACCTATCGCTAACCAATCAGACCTCAGGTACCGCCCAAAATTCTGTAGTAACGAATCGGAAAAAAGAAAGAAAAAAGTCACGGTGATCATTGTTTTCATGATTGATTTTCGCTGTCACGTAGAGTACTCATGTACATCCCTAGTACTACAGAGGCCCTTCATAATGCAGAGGGCAATGATCAGGCCGTGAGTGCTATTTACGACAGTATAAGTACTCCACAGCAACTCTAGGGGTCACAGTTTGACAAAAATGGAAATCCTGCATAGTGCTGCTTTAGTAAACAGCTGTTATACTAAATTCTGCTGAAGTTTTTATTTGTCTAAATACCGCTGTAATAGCATTTTATTTTGTTAGTTAAGTTTACGTGTCCTTTGGCTGAATGTTTTCTGTGCCCGCATTTCTGATTGGGAGAATTATCTACCGGTGTGGTGACTACAAAACAGTGTTCAGGAAATCCACGGGGATGTGTGTTTGTTAAAGGAAGTGTGTAAATAGTGGCTGTAACTCCATTACTATGAATTTTAATCTGGCAAGGCTCTAGTATATGTACTGTAAACAGAATCTGCCCTTTTGAAAAGAACAACGGACATGAATCACGTGGCGTTCATGTAGAAGAATAAATACGACTGATATTGTTGATTTATGTCAACTTTTTTATGTAAGAATTTACGTCATTTTGCATGAAAGCTCGGCTGTAATTTCCTAAAAGCTACAGATAAATCTGACGCGATCACTTTTACAAGAGCGCTCTATATTCAGATATGAGTGGAACATGATGGCGATGAATGCAGTTATTTTGATGCAGAGGCAATTCGTTTGTAATAGTTGCCTGTGAAAGTTTAATTTTAAACTTCTGCATTCATGTTCGCACACAGTTGATATTTTCAGCGTCACTTTCCCAAGCAGACATTGTGTGCAGCAGCCTCTTAAAGAAAGTCTCTGTTTAGCTCACGATTGGAGCCAAATCTTACTGCTGAATGACCTGGGGAGGCCAGCTGAACTTGCAGCGTCTGGATCAGGTGGTGACGTCTTAATCTCCATCCTTCATTCAGGATCTGGGAGGGAAGCTCCTTTTAGATTAGCCTCTCAACCTTCAGCACTATTACTATCATTCAATAGTTTGTTAGTCTTGCTGTGTATCATTCATGATAAAATGATGGCAATGTTGGGGAAGAAGCTTGAAATCTGCTTGATTTTCCCAAACAAAATTTCAGTTTGTAAGCAAGTTTCACAAGTCAAGCCATTGTTCTTATAGATTAATACGTTACTAACAAGCTACTAAAAATACATTGCAGCTATTTCTGCAGATAGTATCTTGATGCAGTCAGAGCCTGATATATCAGGCACAAAAAGTTTGTGTCCCTAGAGTAAAAGCCTTAAAGGGATAGTTTACCCAAAAATGAAAATTAGCTCACGATTTACTCGTTTTCGAATATTCAGGCTCATAAAAAACGAATATGCTTTTATTTGTATGACGTTTAACGATAAAGTTATCACTTTTTATTAGAGCCCGACCGATAAAGTATTTTGAAGGCCGATACCGATACAAATATTTGTTGGTTTTAAAATCCGATATTCCGATATATCGGCCGATATTATTTAATTTTTTTTTATTTCAGACACACGTAACAAAACATTAACAGATTTCCCTAACATTAGGGAACATTTGTAGTTATTTATGAGTTTTAACTAAAATAATATGATAATGCATTTTAAAAAGAAACTTGTTTCTTTTATTGTCACAACAGAACAGATGAACATTAAAATATATTAAAGTGTTCTGATAAATAAAATAATAATTAGT